ATCTAATTATGTATGTGCTAATTTGCATAAATAACACAACATATAAACGTGGACTCAAAAAAATGATATGTTGGCTTTACTTAACTTTTTTATGTAAACAGGTTCCACCGGTTCCACATAACTATGTTTCGTTAAACAAACATAATATGTTCATGTAACTTCAACATCATGGAATTTGGTCATTTTAAGCGACCCAATTAAACTCTGAGCTAATGAGTTAATTAAGTGAATAACTGAGTGATGATTGAGCATTATTGAAGACACCTGATGTTAACAAGCAGAATCTCTGAAGGAGAAAACCGGAATGTTTAAGTCACCATTATGGAGATAAGTATTTGTTTTAGTTGGGCTCTTGACCATTAACTTATTAACTTTAGATTTTGTTTGGTTGCTGTACATGAGTTATAGCAGCCAGATGAACAATGAACAAAGGAGATCTGATGGTGTTGGTTGTGATTTAACATAATCATTATTTCACAATCATTTGACCTCAATCACTGAACTTATATTGAACCCAATTTCTAAATTAAGTTAACCTTACTGTCATTGTAGAGCATACTATTTTTAGGCTTTTCAATGAAATTCAAATGATCAAATCAAGAAATAAAAAATAAACTTCTTAAAAAATATGTTGAGTAGGCACACACAGACATCAAGAATCAGCATATGAATCTCAGCAATGGTGACAAACAGATCATAAGCTCATTATTTATTCATGCAGCAATGCATGATGGGAGCCATGAATGAGTTTTGATTGGTGGCACCCAGAATGCACTGTAACATGCTTTATAATTGTCACCATTGTTGAGATTCACAGGCTGATTCTTGATGTCTGTGTGTGCCTACTCAAAATATTTTTTAGGAAGTTTCTTTTTTATTTATTGATTTGATCATTTGAATTTCATTGAAACGTCTAAAAATAGTATGCTCTACAATGACAATGCTGCTATTATTCGTAAGGTAAACTTAACTCAGAAATTCGGTTTAATATAAGTTCAGTGACTCAGGTCAAATGATTTTGAAATAATGATTATGTTAAAACACAACCAACACCATCAGATGACCTTTGTTTATTGTTCATCCGGCTGTTATAACTCATGTACAGCAACCAAACAAAATCTAAAGTTAATAAGTTAATGGTCAAGAGTGCAACTAAAACACACACTTATCTCCATAATGGTGACTTAAACATTCCGGTTTTCTCCTTCAGAGATTCTGCTTGTTAACATCAGGTGTCTTCAATAATGCTCAATCATCACTCAGTTATTCACTTAATTAACTCTTTAGCTCAGAGTTTAATTGGGTCGCTTAAAATGACCAAATTCCATGATGTTGAAGTTACATGAACATTTTATGTTTGTTTAACGAAACATAGTTATGTGGAACCTGTTTACATAAAAAAGTTAAGTAAAGCCAACATATCATTTTTTTGAGTGTGTATAGCCAGGTGAAATGTATTGTTGAATCTTGTTGACATATAACAGTAAAATACTTAATTTTGAATTAGAATCAAAATCAGTTGAGTTTGCTTCTGCTGCAATTTGTTCTAGGTTGACCCCCATTTTGAGTGACTGAGAAGTGTGTGCTTGAGTGAGCTGATGATGGACAGGTGCAGGAGATTAGGATCTGGAGAGAGAGAGCGCTGGGTGTGTTTGACGGAGTGACAGAACATGAAAATGAAGTGGTATTTGGGGTTAAGGTAACGTAAACTACGGCTACCATGATAAATACACAATGCTAACATGAACTGTTATCAAAACATATGACGCTGATTCTGATGAACATCATGCCTGCATGCAAATCTTCTGCAGGTAACACACGACATACAAAAAATTCAATTTATTGGTAGCTTACCTTTCGGTAATTCCATGACTTACTTACTGACTAACTTAAGTTTGACCGTGCATGCCTGTAATTTCATTGGCTCTTTATAAAGAAGAGATGGTGATATACAACACGCACCAAGTGAAGAGCACAGTAGGCCTATCATCTGACGGGACAGGAAAGTTTGTTTTTCTGAGGTATTTCTTAACAAGTGAGCAGACACTTTCTCATGTACGCTTAATTAAAATAAAATTACAATAAATTATAGGCAGGGAATTATAGGTAGCTAACACTGATATCTGAAATAGCGTATTATTAGTTGGAATTCACTAGATCTGAGACCTAAGACATAGGCCTAAACTATCATTTTTACACTGAATGTTTCAGAGATTAGCTTTTTAGGATTTTTTATACTAGCCTACTTTAAAGCAGCCCTTTCGATCCCAGATAACATCACCCACATTCAGACACACAAAGTCCACTTTTTATCAGTCCTCAGTCCTCTATGATGTCATCACACACACACACACACACACACACACACACACCCCTCTAATAAACTGCATTGTGTCTGATGGCATGTTTTCCCTCAGCTTGCTCAGTCTGGACCCGATCTCGATCACTCGTGCCTCTACATGTCAGTGCTTCACTGCTGTCTGTTTCTCCAGCTTTCAGCATCAGTGATTTCCCGCAAACTCTGCAGGTCCATGATTACGCAACGCTGTAATGACAGAGAACTAATGTATAGTTCACTACACACTGTAACCTACTGCACATGAGATACAGGAAAAAGTCAGAGCAACAGTTACCATGGCACCAGTATTTAGACGTGTCTTGCGAATTAATTAGAATAAAAGCTAAATGTCGTGCTAGTCTAATACTTTTCGGGGCCCGTGAATAACACTGTGTATTTCAGGCAAGATGAAAGAGTGTTACTGGAGACATTAAAAAAACTGGTTTTGTTTTTAAAGTCCCCCTGTGGTTAAAATCGAGCTTTTAATGTTGTTTATATGTAGCCTATGTTTTTTTATATGCTTTAAGACAAACCAAAACCATGTGCAAATCGCTGGTGTCTCTGACATCACAAACCTTGTAACCAATCAGATCAATGTGTGATCGTGAACGAGTGGATCTCTGAGCGGCTGTGAGTGAGTGGAGGCGGGGCTCATTTACATATTCAAAGAACTGCGTTTACTAAATGAGGCAAGGGTGTCGAGTTACATTCAAGCTATTTTAAGGCATGAAGTTTTTTTTTTCCAAGGAAAAAACATTTAAATATGTATATTGGTGATCAAAGATGTGTTTTAAGGGATGCAATTATTGACTACAGGGGGATTTAATGCATAGTACCATTATGCATGTATAGTTAGAGGGGTTTGAAACGTAAATATGCATTCAGCCAAAAATACACACTTCAAAACATAGTAGCTACTATAATAACCCAATGACTTTCAGTGTGTGTAATGAATGGCCAGAAGTGTAATTGGAAGTTAATTCAGATTTTGTGCTGGATGTCCTTTTTACAATAGCATGTTTTAAAGCATGTGTCATTTTGAAATGCAAATATAAAGGCCTCTAAATTATCAACACGATCAAAACGTTGTTGAAAAACCTGTTGTTCACGATCTACTTCATGCCTTCTGTTGTCTGATTGATATTTTTTAGCAAATAAAAGCCTTTTGATATTTTTTAGCAAATAAAAGCCTTAAGTGAAAACTTCTACCTTCAGCTCGTGCTTACGTGTCTTTTTGCTGTGAAGTCTCCACTGATTTTTATAAAGCAAACGTAAGAATAATTTGCATATTGTAAGTAATAGCCTATTTTAAGATACAGATCATGTTCATATAGCCTATGCGATAATGCGAGTATCAGATCCATCAGGCTTTTGAGGAATGTTTATTTGTTCCTCTCTCAATCATCATTGTATTGCATATGTTTTAAAGTACAAAGCTTTGATCATAAAACTAAGAATTTAAATATCATCTTACTAAGGCGCAGATAGGCTAGTGACAACTGATAAATGTGCATTTCATGTGATATAGGCTACTGTCACAAAGTCACCAATTTCACTGTAAAAAAAAAAAAAAAAAGGTCACAAATTTCATCGTACTTTTTGGCCATATAAATATCAGCAACTGCACCAAATGGTGTATTTTTGCTCAGTTTGGGCCTCTGAATATTTTTTTTTTCTTCCTGCATGTGAACTCCATATTCTCACATGAGCCTTTAAAGCCTCATGTATATAGCCTACATTACACAAAAAAACCTTACAAAAAACGGCAATATGCTTACATTTTTTTAAACATACATTCTGTCTTAAGTTTCAACAAACGGTTCCATTAAAAAAAAAAAAAAAAAGCCAAAGTATTACATCGTAATGCAGGCTTCAGGTCCTTTGAAAGAAGAAGACCAGTATTTTACCTATATAAAACCATGCCACTGGTCTCAGTTCAATAAAAGGACACTTGGCATTGCATGTTGTACAACTCACAAAGTTACATGAAGTATAGCCTAGTGTATAGGAGCTGTATGCAAAAATTCTGTATGGATCACCATGTGGTCAACTACAAATTGTCAAAATGTGCCTAAACAACTAGGACAATGCATGGTGTAGTGTCCCACAATGCAATTCATTTAATTTCTTGTCAAAACATTTCCTCCTCCAACATTGCCAAAGTGACAAAAATGTAGAACACTTTTTTTGTGTGTTGAGTCTATTGTTGCATAATGGCTGTGCTGTTACACATTCTTACAAAAGTAAGCACTAGGTAGGCAGTGTTCAGTAACTTGCACACTAGTATTTTATTGTAAACAAAAACATTTATTTCGATCTACTACAGCCCTACCAGCAACATACAAGGCCGGACTTGTATACATATTTATATATATATATTATTAATTGCATTTTTATTGCATTTAATAAGAACAAAGCAATTCAAATACCGGAGTACATATCATATAGGCCTACATGTCAGGGGTAAACAAAAACAAAGAAACCCGATTAAAAAGCTGCAGGGTACATTAGTATCGTGCCTCCACCTGCCGGACAGACCCTGTTACTGCAGTCAAATACCACAAGCCTCCAGTAGGCGGAGCTACACTTCCATATATGGTCAGTTCTCTTACTGCAGTGGGCGGGACCTTTCATTCGATTGGTTCAACGGGTGTCAATCACCTCAGGTCGATAGCAAACGAGCTAACTAGCTCCACACAGGCAAAATACTGTCTGAAACATAACAGCGAAAAATCGGCTGGTTACTTATTTTAATGTATATATTTATTTTTTATATATCGAAACGTTAGATCGGAAAATTGCAGAAACTGGGGCGAAAGGAGAGGTATGTTGATTATTGTGTCAGTAATAAGTTAATTGGAAACAGTAGCTCAGCTTACACGCTACTAGACACAAACATATTAGCTTAACGCTGATGCAAATAACTACATCAATATTTCGGTGTTAATGAACACACACTCGTTAAAGATATAAGCATCGTTTAATCTCTACAGAATTATTCACGTTCTGTAAGTTCTTTCATTAAGTATATCATTGTTAGTTTAAATAAACCTAATTTGTTTGCTGGGTTATTTATTTGTTTTGCTAACTTGTGTGCCGTTGTTGTTGTTGTGAACATTTTATTAATATTATGTGTATATAGTATAACATAGCTGTCGCTCTATATGGCTGTATTAACCTTCTTGTTTAAAAAGCTCGCAAGTCTAACAGATCTAGATGCAACCTTTAATTTCTTGAACATCTCTACAATAACATCTATACACGTAATATTTGTTATGTTTACTATTCAATAATCATATGTAATTTAATTTATAATGATAGTAATAATGGTAAAAAAAAAAAAACGATTTAAAGGGATAGTTCACCCAAAAATGAATTTTCTGTCATAATTTACTCACCTTCATGTTGTTCCAAACATGTTTGAGTTTCTTTCTTCTGCTGAACACAAAAGATATTTTGAAGAATATGACAAACCAAACAGTTGATGGAGAATATTTTCTTTCCCATACTATGGAAATCAATGGGGTTCATCAACTGTTTGTTTTGTCATATTCTTCAAAATATCTTTTGTGTTCAGCAGAAGAAAGAAACTCAAACATGTTTGGAACAACTTGATGGTGAGTAAATGACAAAATCGTAATTTTTCGGTGAATATCCCTTTAAGTGAGCACAGTCTAACAAGTGTGTGTAAAATAGATTCCCGTGTAAGTTTGTTAGACACACGAGAAGATAAAGCCCTTGTTTGCGTTGCTGAATTGTTGTTTTTGGCTGTGATCAAACTGCAAACATAGAAGCCTCTGCATATTAGTATCGGAGAATAAAACAAATAATGATATTAATAAATAATTTGAATTTTGTTTAAAAAAGTTGCAGTTGATTTTTGTGTGTATTAATTATTCTTACTTTATTAACTAGGCTACCTAATATTTCTATTAAATACTAGGCTACTCATAAAGCACCTCAAAACAGTTTACAAACTGCCTATGTATTAGTGTACATAAATAAATTGAACGGTAGTAAAGAAATGAAGAAAATCCCCATTAAAGAAGCTTTGTGAAAAGCAGGTTGATTAATTTAGTTGGTTTTCTGTAGTACAGTTGTCAACATTTGAAGTGGATCGAAACCTTTCATCAAAGTTATACGTGAATATTGAACAATACCCGTTCTTGTCTTAGGACAACTTTGATGAAGTTTTTTGATCCACTTCAAATGTTGACTACTGTATATTTGATCATTTTTCTTGGTTTATTTCGCTCTGTAGGAGAATGGTCGTCCCTGATGGTGGAAGTGTCATTCAGCCAGCCGATAATGGTGACGCCGACGGGACGATGTCCAGTTCAGAGCCCGAGTTCGGGCCGACCCTGACCACAGCGGAGCTCGAGGAGGTCCGAAAGCTTCAGGAGCTGGTGCGACGCCTGGAGGTCCAGAATCAAGCCCTGCGCAACAGGGGCAGCAAACTAACTAACAGCAACCTCACCACAGGGAGTAACATGAACAACCTGGACGAGGTCATGGACACGTCCCCCAGAGCAGAGGATGCTGGGAGCTCGCTGTCTCCTCCAGCGGGCAGCAGTAGCAGCGAGGACATGTCTCCGCTGCCCGACGCCTGCAGGCCTGAGGACGAGGACGGGTTCTTGAGCTCACCGTGTGCTTCTGGCTCCAAACACACACGGGCACGCTTTAGCCCTGGTGCGTCTCCAGAGGTCTGCGATTCAGAGGCGCTGGGAGCGGGTCACGCGGGCATGGACCAGTCCGCCCTGGACGAGGTGGATGTACTTGACTTGGAGACGTGTGCTCAGGCCGACGATGAAGACAGCTGGTGGGTTTATTGATCTTTCGGTAACACTTTATTTCACCGTGTCCTCCTTGTTACACATTATAGTAATGATTATAAATTATGCATAATTAGATGCGTCCACTAAACCAAACCCTAACCCTTATAGCAGGGGTGGCCAGTCCTGTTCTAGGAGATCTACCTACCCACAAAGTTCAGTTCCAACACAATTATCAAGTGCTCATGAAGATCTTAAAGGGATAGTTCACCCAAAAACGAAAATTAGCCCATTATTTACTCACCCTCAAGTCATCCTAGGTGTATATGACTTTCTTCTTTCAGACGAATACACTCTGAGTTATATTAAATAATATCCTGGCTCTTCCAAGCTTGATTATGGCAGTGAATGGCTGTTTCTGTTTTGAGGTCCATAAAAGTGCATCCATCCATCATAAAAGGCTTGCGGTTAATAACGGCCTTGTGAAGCAATACAATGAGTTTGTGGAAGAAAAATATCCATATTTGGGGCGGCAGTGGCTCAGTGGTTCATGTAGGTTGCCTACAAACCGGAAGGTTGGTGGTTCAATCAATCCCCGGTTCCACCTGACCAAGTGTCGAGGTGTCCATGAGCAAGACACCTAACCCCAGCTGTGTGTGTGTGTGTGTGAGACACCTAACCCCAGCTGCTCCCGACGAGCTGGATGGCGCCTTGCATGGCTGACACCGCCGTCGGTGTGTGAATGTGAGGCAAAATGTAAAGCGCTTTGGTGGCCATTGGGTCTGTGAAAGCGGTATATAAATGCAGCCCATTTACCATATTTAAAATTGTATGAAGTACAATAACTATCTTCTGGCCAAACGAAAATACGGATTCCACTTAAGTCTAAAGCGCAACTGCTGATATTTACGCACTACACTTCCTCCAGATGTCACAAGTTGCGCTTTAGGCGTAAGTAGACTGTAATTGGCCGGAAGCTAGAATTTTACTTTGTAACGTGTTAAATATGAATATTTTTCTTACACAAACTCATGGCTTCGCTTCAGAAGGCTGTGTTTCTGTGTTCATCATAACATATGTGATGTGTTTTGTATGTGAATGAAAGCCCAAATTAAAAGAAAGCGATTTTGTGATTTGAAGATGAACCCAAAGCCTTATGAGCTTGGATGAGTAAATGTGATTTATTGTGAGATCTTGTGACTACTGTCATTCTGAATGTAACAGCGATGCATCGGTGAACGTGGCCATGATTTGAGAGAGTGGGATCCTCCTGTATAAACACGGGACGTCCAGTGGCATCTCTAGACTCAAAGTGGAAGCCTGGCCTTGCCATGTTAGTGCCGGGCTCAGTAGCTGTTCTTCTCTGTGGTTGAGCTGTTTTAAATCCACTTTGGATATTAGGGAAGGTCAGGCTGAAAGGTGCAGTGCCAAGGTGAAGTTTTGTTCAGCCCAATGAATAAATGTGTGGCTGCGTGTCAGTGAGGAAGGATCAGTGCAAGAGGTGGTTTTGCATTAGGGTTGGGCGATAAACAAACAAACTCATCTCGGTATATTTTGGCTGAATGGCAATGTATAGTATATCTTGGCATCTTCTACTTTTTTCTATTTGGATAAAAATAGTTAAAAAAAAACCTATTTAAAAAAAAAAAAAACAGCTTTACACAGCTGCCATTTATTTACAAAAAATATTTCACATTAAACTGCCCAATGTTTTCCTAGAAACAGTGCTCATGCTGAAGGCTATGAACTATCGTGAATGTAACCATGAAGGCTGTGTTATACATTGTGCAAAAAAAATTAACAACATTCTTAGTCATAATTATTGTGCTCTCTGTTTACTGAAGTCTAGTTTATCAGAGACTCGCTTGCTTAAGGCTCGTCCACTCCTGACAGCAAAATGGAAATATTTGCAAGACTTTCTAACATTTACAGTGGAAGAATATACCTGTGAAATGTGTTTTTCTCAGTGCATAACTTACGACATCTCAAACGCATTAAAGGTGCAATGTGTAACATTTTTGAGTATCTATTAACAGAAATGCAATATGACATCCATAACTATGTGTTCAGTGGTGTATAAAGAACTTACTTAATAAACCGTAATGTTTTTATTACCTTAGAATGAGGCATTTATATCTACATAGGCGCGGGAATCCCCTTCTATGAAGGTCGCCATATTGTGACGTCATGTTTCTACCGTAGCCGACAGCGAACAAACAGCGTTACAGAGCGCGTTTCGTCACTACATTGAAAAAGAAGCCGCAGGAAGCTAGAAGAAGCTAGTCATAAACACAGTGAGTAGTGACTTTTCCCTTGTCAGTGGTGTAAATATGTAGTTGGATTGTTTCATGTAACTTAATTCTTCTCCCTCGCTGTGTTATGGCTTTGCTATGTGGGGATAAATGTGCTGGTTAAGTTCGTGAGACAGCTGATTAGTAGGCTACTCTTGTCATAGACCGTAAAACAGTTACAGGAATCACCAACCCGTCGATCTTGGAAGCATTTTAAGTCGATCGAGTTTCCAAAATCAGAGAAAAAAGCCTTTGTGTGTAGTAAGTGGTGTCTAGGGGATGCGGAGGCGCCCGCGCTGTTACAATCACGTCATTTTTGCCGCACGCACCTTTGGGCTCATGCGGACGCGTCGAGTTTAAACAAGGCTTAGCGCTTTAACCAGCTCAGCCACAGTAACAGCTCATATTAGCCAGCTAAACTTTTACTACCCTGTTAGAAAAAATATATTGTTGCATAGTTTCATGTGGTTCTTCTCCCTCGCTGTATTATGGGTTTGCTGTGTGGGGAGAATGTGCTGGTTACGTTCGTGAGACAATCAGCTGATTACTATTATTATATTATGTAAGGTGCATTGTGTAATATTTCTGAGGATCTATTGACAGAAATGCAATATAAAATCCATAACTATGTTTTCAGTGGTGTATAAAGACCTTACTTAATGAACCGTTATGTTTTTATTACCTTAGAATGAGACATTTATATCTACATAGACGCGGGAATCCCCTTCTATGAAGGTCTGAAGGTATGTTTCTACCGTAGCCGAAAGCGAACAAACAGCGCTAAAGAAACCTCATTGCTTGACTTACTACTCTCTGCTGCTGACTCAGACTCAGACGACTACATATTTTGTCTTACGTCGGCCACCGTAGCTTCTCATTCGAGTTTGAAAACCGAGGGATAGGCCGCGAGTGACTGACTGTTTGCAATTTGCAATCTCACCACTAGATGCCGCTAAAAATCCCACACTGCACCCTTAAACGGCACAAGTAGTCAGAGCATCTGACGCGGGGAGCCCTTAGCATAAAGCATGACTCAGGTTTAGGACAAATTGGATTACGCACATTCCTCCGCGATTTTTCAGATGCACTCGTAGTATCAAACTACAGCATATCTACTGGATTTCCTCATCCCATATTGTTTATACAAATATATTACGATATAGCGTAGAAACTCGATATACTTTCTAAAATAATGTTTCTGAAAAAAAATTCTAAAATGAACAACTAACACTAATGAAGCCAAAGTGTGATCTTGGGATACTCGCCGAGACGGGCATTGACAGAATTTTGTGTACATTTGTCCTTTCAAATGCAAGAAGACCGGAAAGAGAATTCAGTTTAGTATTCGCATGAGGCTTTCTGAGCGCTCGCTTCTGATGTGTGTGCACAGAAAACCACAATGACCTGCCCTTTCGCATCATCTTGCGCTTGACTGTTTAAACTGGCAAGGCGTAAGAACACGTGCAAATGATAAACGTTTGTGACTAAAATGTAATCTATTTCAGAATGTCTTTTGCGGTGAAAGCTGCACCTGCATCTCATGTTAAGCACTGAATGAATAAATAAGAGGATGACATCCAGTGGAAAAGACTAATAATAAGATATTATATCTTATATATTATAAGCAGGTATTATGTTCAGTGTTTGTGGAAAAAGATCTAGAGCGGCCCCCGACTATTTTTCTAGTCGACTAGTAGACGTTCATTTATGCCATTAGTTGACTAGTCGCACATTTATGTATTCATTTAATTATTTAAAGCTGCAGTCCGTAACTTTTTGGGTTACTTTTTTTAGAGCAAATACATAACTAGCCAGTGTTAAAAACTAGCTTCGATTCAAAACGGTAAGCTTGTAATAATGTCTTTAATTCCAGTGGTACTGGTGGATTTCCGCGGGAGATTCGAGCATGTCTTTGCGTCATTACGTCACATCTGTACACACATCTGTACACACACATCTGTACACATAAAGGAGTCTCGGCTAGTAGACTATATTGCGTGTGAGGATGCAGGAGGTGGAGATTTATAGCCTTTTCTCACAGCACTTGATATAATTAAACATTAATTTGATGGCGGATCCAGAAAGGTTCAAACGACAATCACCAGTGACAACTGGAGATTCACCCGTTGTAAAATGCCAAAGACTTCGGAGGGGCTACAGGAAAAAAGGGACCGCAACCGACCCATGCGAAAACAAGGATAAATATCTGAAGGGTATTAAATGTAGTCACAAAATGCTGATGTTGTTAACATTAACAATTTGAAAACAAAGTATAATTTGCACAGTTTGACGTGATATGATAAGCGACCGTTAGATTTAATCAGCGTGATTTACTGCAATGCTTTTTTCCCTTAGTTGCTCAGAACAAAAGCGGATGTTACTTGTTCAGATGACATTTTCCGGTGAAAATCTTATGTTGGTCATACTTCCAAAAAGTAGAATATGTGATTCTGAATGCCAGTATCCACACCGGCGCGGCGACTGACAGCCGCACACTCTCCTCAAAACATTGTGTTCATCCGCGCTGTGCCGTGCCGAGGCACAACCCACGTAAAGTTGATAATTCCGCAAATAACTGCAATTGCAGATTCCGAACAGAGATGGCGACAAAGAGGAAAAATACGGACTGCAGCTTTAAATTAGAAAATGGTTTGAGTTTCAGGTCTAAGAAAGAATATTACATGTAATGTAGTTCTACAGAGAAATACTAAACCATAATAATGAGCCTTTAAAATATAAATTAAGCACTCAAACGATCGGATGATCTTACCACAGCGACACTGGCAAAGGTAATGACTATGAATCTGTTTGGAAAAAACTGGAAGGACAGTGTATGAACATTTTAATAATTTATTGATAAACTAATGTTTTCTGAATCATTTTAGCTGCAAAGATGCAGTTGACGACACTGACTCGCCATCTCCACAGTATAGCGGACTCGTCCATGGAGAGAAATGGACGTAAAGTTAAAGGTCGTGCTGTAAAGCGTGGTACTAGTATAATATAGCTTCCACACTCTGCATGAACACTTGGATATTATGCGGCTAAAAATAGCACACATTTATCTAGGTTAATGTTGGTGTGAGGCGTTAGCGTGTGTTTAATATGTTTGAGATCATGAATGAATGATAGGCAAACGTTTGGATTTCTTGCCCAAAATAATTACCACAAGATCAAGCCGTTTTAACAATCTGACTTTGCCAATAGGTTGGTTTCACGTGACGTCACGCTGCTGCATCGCGAGAGCGTGAAAATTCAGATGGAGGGCAGGAAGTGAAATAGCTGAGGATCTGCCATCAATGTTTTGTGTAATTTACGCGGCGGCTCCAATCGTTCTAATCGAGAAAAGGGAAAGGGTTTTTATAGAGTACCAAAGATTGTCATTCATAAAGGTGAGAAATGTAAAAAGCTCACAGAACAACGCCGTAAAAAGTGCATTTTTAACCTAACATTACGTCTGCGGTTTGGGAGGAGCAGAGTCTGTAAATGCCGTGTCTGCAGTGACGGTATGTTAGCTAGCCAACGTGTTTTTTTTGTGTCTGTGTTTATATAGCATTAGGTTGCCGTTCAGGGGATCAGTGGGAATGGGACATTAAATGATCAAATTAGACTCAATACGGACTCTCCGCAACGGTTTCCTCTATAGACGTATTCTCCATGTTTACTTCCTGCCCTCCATCTGAAATCGCCCCGCCTTCCCCCGTCATCATAATCACGTGACTGAAACCCAGCTATTGCTTAAGAGTTTTTTTCCGCGACTAACCAACTAATAAATATTTGGTCGACTAAGCTTCTTTTCATCGACGAATGTTTAGTCGACTATTAAGGTGCAGCTCTAAAAAGATCGATTTTCATAAATGTATTTATTAGGCTAAAGGCCCTTGCACACTGAGTCCGAAATTTTCGTATGCGTTTTTTCGTATTCGCGATTCTGTGGCTCTGAATTGTCAAAACACCATTCAAACTGCTTGCTACGGATGCGGAAAACGCAGAAAATCAAACCCGATCCGATTTTTTTTATGACGGATGAAAGTTTTGGTGCAAGCGTGATTGACATAACGTGAGGTCGTATTTATTTTTTAACGTGCGAAAATTTCGGACGCGAATTTCAGACTAAAGGCCATTGCACAGTGCACACTGAGTCCGAAATTTTCGTATGTGTTTTTTCGTATTCGAGATTCGGTGGCTCTGAATTGTCAAAACATCATTCAAACACCATTCAAACTGATTGCTACGGATGCGGAAAACGCAGAAAATCGAACAGGATTCGATTTGTTTTATGACGGACGAAAGTTTTGGTGCAAGCGTGATTGACATAACGTGAGGTCGTATTTTTTTTTTTACGTGCGAAAATTTCGGACGCGAATTTCAGACTAAAGGCCATTGCACACTAGGGCTGGGCAAAAAAATCGATTTTTCGATTAATCGTTTTTTTAAATGTGGTCGATTCAAAATCGATTCTCAACGGGCACGAATCGATTTTTTCCATATTCAGGGCTCGCGTGCTGCGTCTTCTCACTCTGCACAAGGCAAGCGTCAAGCGCTGCAGGCGTCGATACACACTCGTGTTTAGGAGTCGGGACATGATTCACTTGCACAATCGGGCCAGCATTGCATCGTAACTAACGTTTATCATTTTCACGTCTTTTTTCAAGCAATTTTAAACTATCCTGTGCTCGCGCACTCGTGCATGTTTTTCATTGCGTGCACATACAGCCTAAATCCGCCTCACAAACAGCTCGCCAGTAACAAAAGTTCTTTTTCGTGGATTATATCGCTTTAACAGTTAAAAACACGCAAAATGATGTCAAAACTCTGGTCTTGGTGAGTAACCTCGTAAAGACAGTCGGTTATGTCTTAAATAAGCATAAAACGCGTGTGACAGACAGTATAATGAAACAGTAATGGATCCGTGCACTGGTTCTTAAAGTGAACGCAGCCATATGTGTCTGTCATTAATTTTGTTGTCAAAACAACATAATATAGCATTAATTGTAAGGAATCAGAATTAATAGCCTATGTATTTAATTCAGTCAGGACTAAAAGACTATCCAGTGTTATTTTACATTGGATTACTTTATTCAGTTTCTGTAGTATTTCTGACTTACCCAAAAACTTTTCTTTTTATGTCTCTTTATTTGTGTCTTTAGGCCTATTCTATTGTATTTATTTGTGCTACTTTTTTCAATTTAATTCAAAGATTGAAATCAAGCTTCCATGTGTTGCATAAACTCTTAACAAAAAAATTACCCCATTGTAAAAACAAACATTTAGGTGAGATCAATGTAATTAAAAATTGTCTAAAAAATGATAACTGATATTTAGACTGAGATTTGTATTACATCTATATTCATTATAGTCGAATCGAGAATCGAATCAGGAATCGAAATTCAAATCGAGAATCGAAATCGAATCGAGAATCGAAATCGAAATCGAATCGAACTGTGAGCTTGTGAATCGAATCGAGAATCGAAATCGAATCGAACTGTGAGCTTGTGAATCGAATCGAGAATCGAAATCGAATCGAACTGTGAGCTTGTGAATCGAAATCGAATCGAATTTGAACATCTGAATCGATACCCAGCCCTATTGCACACTGAGTCCGAAATTTTCTTATGCGTTTTTTCGTATTCAAGATTCGGTGGCTCTGAATTGTCAAAACATCATTCAAACACCATTCAAACTGATTGCTACGGATGCGAAAAACGCAGAAAATCGAACAGGATTCGATTTTTTTTATGACGGACGAAAGTTTCGGAGGCAGTGTGCAAGCGTGATTGACATAACGTGAGGTCGTATTTATTTTTTAACGTGCAAAAATTTCGAATGCGAATTTTGGACTCAGTGTGCAAGGGCCTCAAAGGCCGTTCTTTTTAGTCCATCTCTTGTATTTTATTCTGCATTGATTTGTTTAATTAATAGAGAATTCCCCAAATAAAACAATAATAAGCAGCTAATCTCTCTAATGCAGCTTTAATTGTAAGCAGAATAATCCAGCCACAATCCTCCGGTGGATTGGATTGGCATTGGCCAGCAATTATCCTCTCCGTATGTGCATATCTGCTGCTTGAGGTTAATAGAGCCCTGTTTGTAGCAGCATTGGGTCGTATCTTTGGCACGTGGTAAGCAGCTTTTGGTGGATTTATGCTTCATGTGATACTGCTCATTCTAGACGGTGAAAAAAAGAGGATTGTTTTGACCTGGATGTGGACTGACTGACTAGAACGGTTTTTCATAGGATCCATTATATAAAGCTGCGGTGTGTCATTTTGTTTGGCATGTTGTTAACATCGTCTCTCATATATCAGTTTAATGTGAAGTAAGTCATCTAAATATGTACCAGTAAAACATTTATTGGCAGTTTGTTGTACTGTGTCTTTCAATATGCCTTCTAATGTTCATTCATGTTTATTTCCTGCTAGTCGTAAGACTTTTTCATATTAGGAGTAACAGCACAAAGCTTATTGTTATTACTGGATGGCATGTGCGCTAAAAAAATAATATTTTATAAAGTTTTGTTCACGCATTAACTGAAAACAGCACAGACTAAAATCTTAGTTCATCAAAATGAAGATTGATTAAAAGTGAGAAATCGATATTGTCAACCCAGCCCTAGCTTCCACACAGCTGACATTTACATAGTGGTTAACCAATGGATCGCCAAGGCAGATATTTAGCTTTATTTAGCCGTAAAAACAGACGCATGATGTTGCACTTTACTGTATTTTCCTTCTTTGAAGTGATTCAAAACCATCATGGCGAACGGTGCGCATCTGAAGTGTCTCAGCTGAAGGAAATAATCCATTATTTATCTGCTTTAATATATCGCCCACATTTTCTTATTGGGCCTATAACATTAAAAATAAACATATATTGGCTGATACCGATACTTCCCCAGAAGTGCTTTTTTCAGGTGCTGTGACTAATTTCTAAGTTCTCACCCCAAAACTAATTTTACCGGTTTAATTTCATGGTTGATGTTTATAATTACCGTTCTGTAAATGCGTCCTGTTTTTCTCTCTTCAGGTTGTACGTGTCCCCAAAGAAGCAGGTTGTGGCAGAACAGGGGCCTGAATCACCACTGAAATGGTGTAGAAAAGTTCTCGATCACCCCAGTCCAGAGACTGAAGTCGCCTGTCGGACACTCATCAACCGACTAGACCAAAGTACGGAAACTTTACAAGATAATAGAAACAATATTTTATAGTCATTTAACTGATGTTAACAAAACAAAGGGGTCGTTGTATACAGATATAGAATGATCCAAATGATTCAGGAACTGATCACAAGCGGACGATTATGTAAAACGCTTTGAGCTTGTCCACTTTTAGCCACTTCCAGAGGTAGTCGAAAACGCATTTGACCGGATTGCTTTCGTAGTGTAAACGCTCATGTGTTCAAACAGGCACGAAAGACCGCCTACTGAGTCTGACCTAACATGTAAACCTTATGGCAAGTGTGCTAGCCAGACGGGATTTCAACTTTGGCGACCCAAATTTGGTTTGAAGATGAAAAACATACCAAGCTCAATGTTCTCTCACTATTCCTGATTTCTAACTCGCACTCACAGCGTTCGGCTGGTCTTAAACTAAAGCTGCCGCTCTCCATATGTTTTAATAGTTATTTCGTCTATTAGATTTAAAGATCTGAAAAAGCCCATACATTTACCCGCCTATAGATCCTGCCCTCGAGAAATCCGGACAGAAGTGGTTGAAAGTGGACAAAAGAGACAGATTAAAACACCAGGTGTAAATGGGAATGCGTCTCCCTCGTCTACTTGTGATCCGATTCTTCAAAACGCATTTTAATACCAGATGTAAACAGCGCCACAGATAGAGATACAGTTATGACATTTAAATTAAACATTACACAACATTTTTATAAAACATTAAACATGTTGCATGGTTGAATTGTTCACAATACGATCTATAACATGCACAGGGCTCAACACTAAGGGTTTTTTCTAGTTGCTCCGCCACAAAAAAAGTCAATAAAATAAAATAGTTACTGTTTTCAATGTTTTCGACTCCTGTAACCTTGTATTCTAACAAATAAGCTTATTACAGTATTTTAAGTACTAGTGAAATTTCACAATTCTTGTTTCCAATTTCGAAACCACAGCAAAAACTACTTGGCGAACTAAGTTAAAGGGATACTCCACTTTTTTTGGAAATCATTTTACAACTCCCCCAGAGGTAAACTGTTGAGTTTTACCGTTTTTGAATCCATTCAGCCGATCTCCGGTTCTGGCGGTACCACTTATAGCATAGCTTAGCATACATCATTGAAGTGGACAAGACCATTAGCATTTCTAATAAAAAAAATTACCAAAGAGTTTCGATATCTTTCCTATTTAAAACTTCAAATCAAATCAAATCCATTTATTGTCACACAACCATATACACAAGTGCATCAGTGGGTGAAATTCTTAGGTGCAATTCCGAGCAACATAGCAGTCATGACACGATGGACGTATAACAATTACAGCAAACAATCGGATTTACATAGATTTACACATCTAATGTGCGCACAATTACTCACAGTATCATATACACAAACAAAACAATAAATAATAATATAATATACAATGTACAATAAACGATATACAATATCCAAAAGAGGTATATATGCATACAATAGATACACGTAAGGAGGAAATATATATATATATATATATATATATATATATTATGTAATATGCGGTAGGGTTATGTTGTGCTAACTTGACTCTTCTGTAGTTACATTGTGCACTAAGACCGACGGAAAATGTAAAGTTGCGATTTTCTAGGCTGATATGGCTAGGAACTATACTCTCATTCCTGCGTAATAATCAAGAAACTTTACTGCCGTACCATGAGTGCAGCAGGCGTAATGATATGACGCAGCGCCTGAAAATAGTTCCGTTGTGTTGACGGAAGGTGGCCTATTTCCAAAAAAAGTGGAGTATCCCTTTAAGTTTAAATCACGATGGACAAAAATCAAGAACTGCCTTACCGGTATTATATATATATATATATATTTTTTTTAAATATCAAAATAGAGGAGAAAAGACTATAGCAACTTCCATTTCATGCTGACTTTATTGTCACCATGTTAAATGTAATGAAGACCATTAAAATACACTACACTGTGTGCCAAAAAAGCTATAGAATATAAATGTTACAATATAAGTTGCATATGAGTATGTTTGTTTTTTTACACACCTGTCTGCAGTTTGAAAGCAGCAAGACAGTCTCTGAATTGTAAGTAATAGATTGATGAAAACGCAATCTAAATGTTAATAACAGGTAAAACTGTCGAATGTTCTACTGGAACAAACACATAGTAACTATTTAATGTATTTTTTTTTCCTGTCACAGTCACATTTCTTTTAAGAATAACTTCTTGATGAAAGTGCATATTTATTAACGTTATTGCGCTTTTTTCTTTGTTGCGTCAGTTGCTCTGTCAAGTCTTTGGAGTTTAATGCTCACTGTTTTGTGAAAGGGAAAATGTTTTGTGCATCCTAACATGTGAAATGCCAAATGTAGAATTTAAAGGGATAGTTCACACAACAATGGAAATTCTGTCATCATTTACTCACCCTCATGTTGCTCAAAACCTGTTTGAATTTCTTTTTTTTTTCTGCGGAGCACAAAATATATTTGAAAGAACGAGTGAATTTTGAAAAGTTAGTGTGGTCCAAAACAACACTGCACCCCGCTGATATTCATTTTATGGACATGTGGGTGAATAAATGATGATTTTTTTTGTATCTGGTTGTTAGATGTGGTCGTTAAATGATTTGATTTTTGTGTTTTGCAGCATCTAGATGGAAGAACGTGTACAGTAGCCCATCTCAGACGGCCGAGGCTGGCGTCTCAGCATCCTCTTCTGCTGGGTACCTCAAATCAACTAACAAAACACTACTAACCTCTGGCAGCTCAGGTATGGCATTAACCCACGCCTTACAGCCTCACCACAACACACACACACACACACACCCATGCAAGCGTTCAGTGGTGTGGGCAGAGCTGCTTTGACTTTGTTTGTGTTCAGTACACATAAAGCATATGACAAGGTCAGATATCATGCATGAGGTTTCTGGCTGGCAAATTCCTCTTAACTTTGTGTGTTTTAAAACCTGTTTGGACTGCAGTGTGTGCTAAAGACATGAGTAACTGCCTCTGCATGAGTTGCTGCTGTTTAATGAACCACATTGGTAGCCAGAAATGATTTTAGTTGCTTTGCTGCAGGCATGTGACTCACTTGCAGTGCTAGGGCTGGGAGTTATGGACCAAACATCATATGGCAGTATTTTTTAGGCTGAATGGTGATGCATAATATGAAAATAATGAAACCCTAAATGAGGTTGACAGCAACAACTTCTAGCCTAACTCATAAATATTATTAAAGACAAGTAAACGGCAATAAAAACATACAATTGAAATAAACGCTGCTTTTCAGGTTGGTCTAACAGTAGTTAAATTAATACATTAAATAAAGGCTAATCAAATGTAAAATAACACTGCAAAGACTTTTCTGTATAAATTAAATATAGATTAATCCTTATTTAAGTCACAAAAGTCAAGAGCAGAGAGTGATTTTTTTTCTTTGTCCATTGATGTTTGATTAACATTAAAAACACAAAAAGAGTGAATGTCCGGATCCAATATAGTGTTACACATGCACTTTATTTAACTGTCTACATTCACTTAAGACATAACCCTTATATATTTTTCACCAATATAGGGTTTTTGATGTAATTCTGTGAGAAGCAGTGTTAATTTTGACCACAAATTTTGATTTAGTTTTTAGTCTTTTGACTAAAATGCCTTTTAGTTTTAGTCATTTTTTAGTCATCTGAATTGTTTTAGATTTAGTCAACTAATAAGATAATAAGATTTTAGATACAAATCTGACGAGTTTAGTTAAATTGTAATGCGTCAATTGAGCGTTTCTCTAAAAAAATTCTAAACTCATTATATACTCCTGGAGAAAACATAATTAACCTGTAATATGAATGATATTAAGGTTTGAACATGCGATACAGACACAGATAGTTGCTGCTGTGACATAACATGTCTTTGTTCATCTTTAATAAAACCATTCTCAATAAAGAAAAAAGAACATGTTTTAAAATGAATGATATGGTGAATTCAGGTTGATTGGGACACTTTTTTGAGATGAATGGGAAAGAGTGTCCCATCAACCTGAGTTCACCCCTATCCAGTCTTTATAACAACTTGCAACATTCTTCAATCTTTCTACCTGGCATATTTATTTGTATAAGTTAAATAGAGATTAATCCTTATTAAAGCTAAAAAACGTTATTTAGTCAAGAGCATTGAGTGATTTTTCTCTTTTGTTTGATTAACATTAATGACAGCATCAGGTTTATTAGGCTGCTGTCACTTTAAAGCCGAATGCATGGATCCAATACACTGATGCACATCCAATGTTCTCCCAACTGTTTGTGTTTACGTGAATACTCGCCAAAACAGACATTTTTACACAATTGTGTGTGTATTTGTTCATTCAAGCGCGTAAACACGCGAAAGAGGTGTTTCCTTTCCGCACTCGTGTGCCGTCTGAGAGGCGGCTCTCTGTGTGCGCCAGAAAACTGCACTGAATTGAGCTCTCTTTGTTTATGTCGACATGCTTTTCAGATTTATCCATATGTCTGCTCTTCTTTCTACCACACGTTTACATTTTTGAACATTTTATGAGACATGCAGTATAATGACAGTATATTTTCCCAAAAAATTTAAACCCGTTTTCAAAAGCGTGCGTTTTTAGGCCCTCAAAACGCCGGTTTCGTGTAAATGAACAGCCAAAACACATAAAATATTTTCAGATTTTAGTTGAAAACCGTGTCTTGCAAAACGGCCTCAGAGACTCGCTCGCTGTCAGGGATGAAACTTTATGCAAAATAGAAAATACCTGCGTGAGTTTCTAACATTACAGATAAGAGTATACCAGTCAAATGCAAGTTATGGCCTGTGGAAAGCGCATCTCAAATGTGTTAAACGACACACTCATCTGACAGCACAAGCTGAGGTAAATGTGAAGCTTAATATAAAGCTTTCTCATGTTTGGTGCCCGGTGTTACACAAATGCATTATTCACAAATTAAAAGTGTCGTGACGGCACGCAGATGCGATTAATCGATAATCAAATTCGCTGACGATTCTTTCGATCTATTATCATCAGTTTAGTTGTTGCAGCCCTAACATTGAATGTTTTCTGTTGTTTACAGGTCACATGGGCGTCCACTCTGCTCTCAGCTCCCAGTCCTCTATTGACAGTGAGTTAAGCACCTCGGATGACTCCATCTCCATGGGCTATAAGCTTCAGGATCTGACTGACGTTCAGATAATGGCTCGTCTGCAGGAGGAGAGTAAGTATGCTTCACCAGACACACATCCAGACCCTGAGGGCACAATGCACCACTTATTCGTGCACAATGCTAATAAATGTAGGACATGAAAATGCTTTCTACTCTTGTTATTTGTTTTGAAACGCATTGCTTCAACAGAATGATCTGATTGGTTCAGGCAAATTGCAGGCGCTGTTATTTGTGTATCGAGAACACTTTTAGAGATTAGCCTGAGTCTCTTGTGTAACTATTACACAGTAGTTGAAGTTTATTATTTGACACACCACATGGGTTTGTAGTCTGCAGATGATTTGACAAAATATTGGTAAATTTGAAAAGGAAATCAAAACTGACCCGGTTTACTTACTACATAAATGAACTAAGTTCAGTTTCTGGTATTATTTTAATTCCCACAATCTCTTGCTATCTCAAATTCAAACTTTGTTCAATCTGCTATGGAATGGCCACTTTTCACCATCAGCAATTTACTTTGGGCAAAATAAAACCCTACATAATATCGAATATGCATTTTCTATCAGAAATGTCATTTCAAAAAGGCACAAATGTACAACTTGTAACGGCTGGAAATAAGGTGTGGCCCCTTTAAGAGCTGTGCGCTCCCTGTTGAACTGTCGGCAGTATTGTATTGTATAGCCTTGGGCCTCGAACACCCCTTTTACTGTCTATGCGAACACCCCATGTATGCGGGTAATTTCAGTTTGATGCTAATTTTTATCTTATTTTGTTTATTAAGTAACGATGTGGACGGTAGAACGTGTGACAGACAGGCTACACGAGTTCGATTTGGGAATAAAGTGCGAGTTGTGAGATGCCAATCGCCTCCGTGTGTCTGTCTGGCCTCTGCATGCAATAACTTCAGTTGTGAGCTATCCCTAATCTTCCTGAAGCAACGCGTTACAAACTGTACTTCAGTTTCATTGCGGGGACACCACCTTCACCTGCCATCATGTCTATCGCCTCGCTTTCGGGTTAAACTTTCCGCAACTGCGCAACTGGGTTATAGGTTGCCAGGTTGAAGTGACAAACGGGTTGAAATTGTAAATGGTCTGTGGATTGTGAGAATATAATGCATTTAATACAATCTGGCAACTGGTCAACATTAGACAAACATATTGGTCCGATTATTCATAAAGGAGTTTGGGCCATGCAAATTACGGGAGTTTCCCGGGAGAAATAACAAACCGGGAGGGGTCCGGGAGATAGGGCTAAAAAACGTGAGAAACCCGGGAAAAACGGGAGTGTTGACAGGTATGGTTTAGGAGGCGATTCCGGATTCAGCCTGCGTCTTTTTTAACTGAATACGCTTAAAGTCCCACAGACTTCCATAGAAAATGCCTTTTTGGCGTGTTCATAGCCTGGGAAAACCCTGACAACTTCTGGCAAATTGATTTGCTCAAAGTTAGTCTGGCAAAGAGCTCATTCAAGCCCATTTCCAATCCGCCGAAATCGAGGCACCAATCAGAAACGTTGGGGCGGGCTTTACACGATGACGACAGCGCTGGGATTTTGAAGCAGATTTTGTAGCCTACATTACAAAGATGGATGCCGCCGTCGAACATCACTCGTTCGAATCAGCTATCGCGTCTGTTTTAAGCGATTTGAACGTTTCCTTTTAGTTAAAAACCGAGCAAAGAACAACACTCGGAGATGTGTCTCCGCCACTCTGCATACGTCATCTCCTTATCGCTCTGATTGGGTTTAGGTCTATCCGCGACGTCCGTTGGTGACGCCCCTCTGGAAATGATTTGTCTATGACGCTTTGCCAGACCATAACTCAGTTACAACTGAGAATGGTCTGGTTTTAACCAGGCTAGCGTGTTCAGCCTGTGTCGATCAAACTTGGCACTAGGGATATCAGTACTACAATCAAAAAGATCAATACCAGTGTTGGGACAGTATCAGTTGTATGCTGTAGTACAGGCACACAGACGGCTGCTCTCTGTGTGTGCATGTGTCCTGTGAAGAGCACTTGTGCCGAATAGTCAAATACACTTCAAAGTGTTCATTTTTGACTTTCAAGTTTTTCTGGTAAGAATACCACTACTAATGTGATTCCATCAGCAGTTTCAAACGAAGCTTTTTTTTTTCTTCTTCACTGTTACAGCCAGTGGCTTGTCTGTGTGTTCCAGGTCTCCGGCAGGACTACGCCTCTACCTCGGCCTCGCGCCGCAGCTCGTCGGCGTCCCTGCAGTCTCTGCGTCGAGGCACATACAGCGATCAGGAGTTCGACTCCTACAGTCTGGAGGACGAGGAGGACGAGTGTTGCTCTCTGCCTCAGCGTCTCCAGCGCTACTCGCCCTCGCCACACAGCTCTCCCCGCTGCCTCTCTCCCAACACACTGGCGGAGTACAGCCGGCTCGCCGCGCCGCGCCCGCGCATGTCCCGCCGCTCCCTGCAGGGCCCGGGGTCCAAGAGCGAGGGTAGGACGTTTAGTGTTCAGCAGAGATGTTTGCCGTGTACACTACCAGTCACAAGTTTTGGATCGCTAAGATTTTTTATGTTTTTAAAAGAAGTCTCTTCTGCTCATCAAGGCTGCATTTATGTGCTAAAAAAAATAAACAGTAATATTGTTAAATATTATGACAATTTAAAATAACTGTTTTCTATTTTAAACTTTATTCCTGTGATCAAAGCATCATTACTCCAGTCTTCAGTGTCACATGATCCTTCAGAAATTATTCTCATATGCAGATTTGATGCTCAAAACACATTCATTATTATTATTATGTTGAAAACAGTTTTTTTCAAGATTCTATGATGAGCATCAAAAGAACAGCATTTATTTGAAATAGAATCTTTTGTAACATTATAAAAGGTTTTTTTTTTATTTTTTTTTATTTTTTTTTACTTTTGATCAATTTAATTCACCCTTGATGAATAAAAGTATTGATTTATTTTATTTGTATTTAGTGTTTAATGTTACAAAAGCTTTCTATTTCAGATAAATGCTGTTCTTTTGAACTTACTATTCATCAAAGAATCCTGAATAAAAATGTAAACAACTGTTTTCAACATTGATAATAATGAGAAATGTTTCTTGAGCATCAGATCATCATATTATAATTATTTCTAAAGGATCATGTGACACTGAAGACTGGAGTAATGATGCTGAAAATACAGCTTTGATCACAGGAATAAATGTACACTTTACTATATATTCACATAGAAAACAGCTGTTTTAAATTGTAATTATTTCCCACAATATATATATATTTTTTTTTTATCAAATAAATGCAGCCTTGGTGAGCAGAAGAGACTTCTTTTAAAAACATTAAAAATCTTACCAATCCAAAACTGTTAACTGGAAGTGTACATAAGCCTGGTGTGAATGTGCTTGTAAAACAGAACTGATTAATGAACTGCGATACGGATGCACTGCCCCTTAGATATGAACGATCATCGATGCTGTTGTAGAAGGATAAGGTGTCATGAGGAATTTTGAAATCTTTGTTTCTGGATGTTAGCTTATGAAGTTAGCAATGTTTTGGCAACAAAAAATTCAAATATTTGCAAAAATGGTAATTTTCCGAATGTTATATTGTGTCAAGGGTTTACAATAGCCAAGTCAAGTAACCTTTTATTTATATAGCACTTCATACAGTACAGCTTCGCAGGAAAAAGACATTATTCAGATCAATTCAGTTCAAGTTTTGTTCTCATCGGATAGTGTAAGTGCAGTCAAATCAATAATATAACTGAATATTAAGCGTCTTATAAACACCAACTTAGCAAGCCCAAGGCAACAGTAAGATAAACTACACCAGCACATGTTTAACTTTAGTAAATGTATGTATCTATACTGATTTGATTAGCAGAACTCTAACAATGAGACTCTTGGTCTCTTAATAGCGTTCAAATCTGGCATAACGCTAATTACAAACACGCTTAAAGATTATAAATAAATGTGCCGCCGTTGCCTCTGAGGACCAAATACTTGGCACTGCTGTAGCTTTCAGCACAAGATATTCAGGGGGAACCGGCTGCATGAGTAGTTAAGAGCACGCCTCCTTGAGCTCGGAGCATAGCACAACTATGACTTAATTTAGATGTTGGTAGAAGTAAATTAAAGTCTAGGAGGTCATGTGCAATGCATGACACTGTTTTGAACTAAAAACTGTGTTTGGCCATCCATTTACACGGCAACGGCATTTTGGGGGCCTGAAAACGTTCAAATCGCAAGTTTTTAACCACAAATTTGTGAAAACGGTGACGTCATGCGTATTACTTAATAATAATTTTGTTTTCGCGGATCCATGTAAACGTGGATCGTTTTGACAACATTGTCATCTGTTCACGAAAAGCGCAAAGGAAAAACTTCAGTTTTTAGTACATCGTTGTCATGTAAATGTACCTTTCAATTTTTGTATTGAATGTCCAATGAAAAAAAAAGACTTATTCAGAGTACGGTACTTGAAATTCTATCATCAGGAACCTGAAACCATGTATGACTACCTATTTACACAGTGATCTTGTCTATTGGGTAACCAGTACCTTTGTGATGAGCTGGCAAAGTGAGAACTGAATAGATACTGTTATTCCGAAATACTAGAAGAGCTAATGATGAAAGAAAAATGCGCAGCTGAAAGTCCCTATTCATTTCAGTCTGATCTTGACAGCTTGAGCGGCACATTTCAGTGCAAATTATTCACGAGTCTGTAACTGTGTAATGTCTAACTTTGCAAAGAGACTGTTATTGAAGGATGGGGGAATACAAAGCAGTATTGGATCTGTCAGCAAAGCCGCGGCTCAGTTACTTATTTAAAAAGGGGCTTTCGCACCAGAGGAACCTTTTCAAAGTTCCTAGAACTATTGGCGGAAGTACACGGATTTTGGCGCGTTCGCACCGCAGGAACTAGGAACGATTTGAGTTCTAGGAACTCCTTTTAGAGGAACTAGTTTATTTCCTACTTCAGAGTCGGTCTAAACCAGTGCTATAGGAACTACCAGTGACGTTAGTGTTCGCTGATTGGCCGAGCGCATGCAAAACACCCGCCATTTTAAAAAAAGCTGCTCGCACAGATTATAGCCTATACATTTACTCTACAAACTAACTCTACGAACATGGAAAACAGTGATAGATGAAGCTCTTAACCTTTACGCTGAGGAGAAAATCCAACGTGATTTTGAGGAGACCAAGCGAAACATGATTATGTATTATTATGGATTATGTATTTCTGCTCAGCAACACTGGACATCAACCACACGGCATACGCTAATACCTTTTCATATACGGTCTACTTTCTATGTATAACAGTTCTGTCCAATAACGGATTAGACAGGACTGTTAAACAGATCGTAAACTAGTCAACTATGTCTGGCGTTCTCAGCGCCGTCAAAATAAAAGTCACAACAACAAGCGCGGCTTACGCCACTTCAGAGTTCCTACTGGCGGTGCCAATGCAACCAGGAAAACGTTCCTGAGGGAACCATTAGTTCTCGGAGAACACCCTGGTGGCTGGCTCCTAGCACTATCCGGTGCGAAAGCCCTTAAAGTGATAAAGAGGTGTTCTGAGGTCTTAAAGTTTTTATCCAGAGGCTTTATCATGAAAGTGGTCATGATAACTCATATAAGTGGACATCAGGCAAAACTCAGCATGGTACAACCCCTTTAATATTATTGATTGGCTGATCAGCATTGCACCTGCATGTATTCCTTCTGCATCTCATAGACAGCAAGATGTTCTCAATGGGCGGGTAGTGTGTTAAGCAGGCTGTGTGTGTGGTTTTCAGAGGAGCTCAGGCACAGCATGCCTAACCTGACCCCGCGCACCAGCCTGCACTCTCTGGAGGCAGTCAGAAACAGCCGCAGCATGGAGGCTAACTTACAGAGCTCAGGCAACCGCACGTCCCGTCTGCCCCACTCCCCGACAGGTTGGTACCCCGCTCCTCTGCTTCTCCTTCACCCGATCCCTGTTCCTCAGGTACAGCTGTGTGATGATGATGACGACGTGCCTCGAACCCACTCTTTCAAGACCACCCCATAATCCCCGTCACAGTGGTGAGGTGAATGGATGGTGTGTGTCTGGTTTCTGTATCACCACTCCTTGACTCTGAACCATTGTTGAACTAACAATACACTATTGGTCCAGTTTCTCCTCCCCTCACCCATCATCCATTATTTCTGCTCTTAAAACCTGTTGCGCCTGTAGTGGCACTCTGAGCCACTATAGCACAATCTTTGATGTCCGGGGGATGATGTATTTTATAGCAGGCCAACCTGGAAGTTAGTATCAGCCTCAAAAAACAATTTGCCATGTAAAAGCCCCATGACCAACAGAGGCTTATGATTCTTATACGTTTTGTCAATATGATAATCTTCACAACTGAACACCACTGTCTTTTATAATTCTTGAAGCTTAAATTCAATCGTCAGAAGTCAAAGCTAAACGTGGGCTATAGATTACCTGCAACACCGTCACATGACTTGAACATCACCATCACCGAGCTTCCAACAAGTCTGTATGTAAAAAAACTAAACAAAACAAACATTTCCCCTAAACGTTAGTTAGAGCGTGATTATAGCGAGTAGATGAGTGTACCTGTCAGGCTGATGATGTTTAACGTCCCCGACAAGCTGCCAGTTAGCCACTTGTTAGCATCTGCATTTTCAAGACCGGTAAAAGGTTTAATAAAATCACGAGGGGGTTTTACTGGTGTATTTTATGCTTTAGAATAAAACGTAAAAATATATTGAGCTTGTGTTTACCACAAACCTTATTTCAGGCATTTAACCAAAAAGCCATTGACTTCAGGACGATGGAACGGGAAGTGCTAAAATGCGAACTCGTTTCTGTGTTTTGGCCTATAAAATACGGCATCCCTGCAGAACTCTAGTACAGTTTTGCCACTACCCAGCTAGGTGCAGTTTCATGTCATCATCCAATTACTAAGAGTAATGTGACATGAATGTGGGGAGTTTCGACCTACAGCCAACTCGTGTCCTTTGGGAGTTTGGTTTAGAGCCAAACAACTGCCATTGCGATGTCATTTTACACACGATTTAAACCCTGCAGGGCTCCAGACTGACCAAATGGTCGCATTTTGTGACCTCTTTTCCTGCTGGTGCGACACAATTATGTTAAAAGGTCGCACGTTGCCCAACTGATAAGAGCTGCCATTTCTGTTGCATGTCAGAAACATCCAACTGCAAACAAATCGAAAGTGGAACGAAACCGCGCAATAATAGCAATAATACAGCGCTATACAAGTTATAGAAGGCTTTTCAGTCCACAAATCACCAACATTCACCATGGATTTACTGTAGCAATGCTAACTGAACTAATCATGGGATTGTGGCTGAAATAGTCAAATGTTTTTTACATTATTCAGTTCAGGGTTCGTACAACCTCTTGAGAGTGAATTTCAAGGGCTTTCAAGCGCTTCACTAGCCTGGTTAAAACCAGACCATTCTCAGTTGTAACTGAGTTATGGTCTGGCAAAGCGTCATAGACAAATCATTTCCAGAGGGGCGTCACCAACGGACGTCGAGGATAGACCTAAACCCAATCAGAGCGATGAAGGAGATGACGTATGCAGAGCGGCGAGTGTTGTTCTATGCTCGGTTTTTAACAAAAAGGAAAAGTTCAAATCACTTGAAACAGACGCGATAGCTGATTGGAACGAGCGATGTTCGACGGCGGCATCCATCTTTGTAATGTAGGCTACAAAATCTGCTTCAAAATCCCAGCGCTGTCGTCATCGTGTAAAGCCCGCCCCAACGTTTCTGATTGGTGCCTCGATTTCGGCGGATTGGAAATGGGCTTGAATGAGCTCTTTGCCAGACTAACTTTCAGAGCAAATCTAAATTTGCTGGAAGTTGTCAGGGTTTTCCCAGGCTAGCGCTTCACGCTTTTCCCAGCACTTCAAAGCTCTAAATATTGTCCAATTTTAATGTTATTTTTAATGTGATGATTTGTGATGAACTAAAAGTTTGAAGAGAAAGGAAAACTAACTCCTTTTAAAGAAAGAAAACTAGCACTGTTGCAAACAAACACCTTTATTTATTTTTTTAAAAGACCAGTATAAATGACCACTATAACCAGTAGATGGCGGCAGAAGAGCACTTGTTGACTTACTAGCCATTTCCACTCCCTAATATATGGAAAACAGTAGGAAGTCACAAAGTCTCATGAAAAACAAAACCTTTTCTTCAAATTGTAACTGAATTACACAGAAAGCAAGTCAAGAGCGCCTCTTTATAATCACTGAAGTTGTCTGTGTAATAAATAATACTATCTTCTACTCTTATTAAATGTACCATTGTTCTTTTAAAGTATATGTATTTACAGTAAATTAAAATTTTCCCTATTAAAAAAATAGGTTTTTGCATGTTACTGTTGTTAAGAAAAGTCAATTTTATTTGCCACTCAATTCAAGCTCAGTGTTTTACTGTCAAATTTCCCATAACCAAACCTGTAATATTATTAGTAACTGCACTTATTAATGTGAAACAAAAGTAATTTCATAATTAAATGAACTTCCAAACACCCCCAGCGCTACCGAATGAGGTTCTGGTGCCACGCTCTCGAGTGTACGTCTGAAGCCCTGCCCTGGTCTCTTCTCGACACACCCGAAAGAGTCCATCTTGTGTTGAGTGTTTCATCCTGTCCCTCTCTCTGGATGTCCTGAGGCTGTTCTTCTTACCATGTTTCCTAGCTTGATTTGGTGCACTCTTGACTCATGTGTGTGTGGTAAACAAGATCTTTTACTCACGCCAGTCTTTCCTGGAGGTCGCCCAAGGCTTTCTCCTCCTTCAGTCACTCCCTTCGAGACTGTTGTCTTGGACAGATGTCTTGCTTCATCTGATGGCATCCCGCTTTCCTTGAGTACTACCCCTACCAAGACATCTTCTGCTCAACTTTTCCCTCTGTTCATGAAACACACATACAAACGGATCCTAAATTCCTAGGTGTTCATCAAAAGTGTTGAGCAAATCAGGATTTAAAAAGGCGTAGGTCCACTGAATTGCATGCATATGAAGTAATTAAACCAGTGATTAAAGTAGTCCAACATTGTTTATTAAAATGTGATGAATAGAGAATCATATCTAATTATTGTCCAATGCATCATGTCCAGTGCATTAATATTATAATATGTGCTAACGAGCTGCATAATATCTGTTTTGTGATAATTGCATCACTGAAATGAATTCATTATGTTTCTGAATTCCTGGAATATCACACACACGTTGGCCATGTCTGGCACACATACGTTTTCCAGGAGTGCTGTTGATGATGAGCGCCATACTTCATCTTCTAAACCATGACGGCATATTTGTGAGCGAATGTATGTGTGGGAGTTAATGCACTTGTTCACATTGTGCATGGATTTAAGATGAACAGCGATTTATGAAGATTTATGTTTGTACGGCATTTTAGAAGCTGTTGCACGTTCACATTCGGATCATTGAACATCGAATTTTCTGTTGAATTTGAACCATTGAATTTGTGGAAGCAAATTTGTAAAGCGAAGTAAAATGGACTGAAAATTGCCTGTCGAATATAATAGGTTGTATTTTTAAACGGACCTAATATTTTGGAAGTGAAATCTGAATTTAATTTTTAACAATGAAAATGAGTGTGGAATGTTTTGAATTGAAATATACCACCATGTTGAATTTCAGCCTGTAAAAATGCAAGCCCTAAAAATACAATGCATTAATATTAGTGCTGGGCAACGATTAATCACATCCAAACTAAAAGTTTGTGTTTACATAATATGTGTGTGTGTGTACTGTGTATAATTATTTTGTATATATAAATACACACATATGCATGGATATATTTAAGAAATATTTGCATATATATAATACTGTACAATATATATATATATATATATATATATATATATATATATATATATATATATTAGGGCTGTCAAACGATTAATCACGATTAATCGCATCCAAAATAAAAGTTTGTTTACACATAATATGTGTGTGTACTATGTATAATTATTTTGTATATAAATGCACACATGTATATTTTTAAGAAAAATATGTAATTTATATATACAATGTTTATATTTATATAAAATATACATTATATATAGGCTACATTCAGTCTATATACAGTATATACATGCAAATATTTCGCAATTAATCGTTTGACAGCTCTAATATATATATATATATATATATATATACGTAATTTATATTATATAATAAATATTTTACATATAAATAGCACATTTTTCTTAAATATATACATGCATGTGATTATACACAGTACACACACATATATTATGTAATCACAAACGTTTATTTTGGATGCGATTAATCGTTGCCCAGCACTAATATTAATGCAAGCATGGTTAATGCTATGCATATTGTTTCAATTAGTGCAATTCAACAAGCTTTTTTGTATCAAAAACATTTGCCATTCATTTTCTTCCATACTTTGTGTTTCCTGCAAGTGTCTAGGCTTTTCTTTTTTGTCAATGTGAAAGTCTTTCTTACACTTTCTGTCAAATATACTTTCTGCCGGTTAAAATGCAACATCAATAACATCGATGAGGATATTACACGAGTGTCTGTGTGATTGGGTGCTCTTGCAGGTGTATCATCTGCACGGATGAGGGGCGATGGCCAGTCCCCGCTCTATCTGCGGGCTCCCATGAAAGCTCTCGGGCCCGTGGGCTCTATGACTGGGGTGCGACAGCATGCCAAAGGGCCTCCAGGGGCCCAGGGAGGGATGAGGAGGGTTCAGTCCCCGGGCCCCAGCAATGGGGCGGCATACTCGGGCTCCAGGAGCGCTGCTGTAACCAGACAAACACCCGGAAGAGGCATGGCCCCAACATCCCCTTCTTCCAGAGGCAGACTTCCACAGACACCCAGAAGGTAACTCACTGTAATCCGCTAAATACACTGTAGTTATTTCCAACGTTATTTGGAGTTGAGGTTACTCTGCTTATTTCCCTCTATAGCAGATCCCTGGGAATGACCAAACCCTGTGCTCCCTTCACTGATGAATCCTGGAAAGATGGTTGTTACTGAACTCCACCTGTCGTCCTCACAGTGAAATCCAACGCGGCACCACTGCCTAAAAACCAACACCGAGGCCCTCAAACAAGAGTGTGAACGAATCCAGAGTCTCAATGACAAGAGCAACTGTGGAGGAACGGTGGATCTGACAGAGACTGCGACATTAATTGTAATATTTGCTTGAATTTTTGTTTTGTTTTGTTTTGAAACATCAATGTGCTTTTAATTTCATGAGAATTGGGAGGTTTGAAAAACTGAGAGAACTTGAATAATGAAGAAGGTTTGTGTCTTGTAATACATGTAGTTTTTTTTGTGAAACAACGTGTGGAATTTAATTCCTAGATGCTGTGGAATAACCTGATGTTGATTTTGCATGTTTAATCTATTTTTTTTAAATGAAGGATATATGATTTCTCTGTGGGGGGGAATTTTTAATGTTATGAAGGAATAGTTCTCTGTAAAGCAAGAAATGTGTCTGTTTTGTGTCGACAAGACATAACAGAGCAATATAGAAGTCAAAAATGTATCTTGAAGGAGAAGAAAATTTAAATTTTTTAATTTTTATTGAGATCACATCAATGTGCCAAGGTACATTAATTACTACTGCAACACTGTTTCTTAATTCAGAGTGCTTGTAGCTGAAGTTACTACACTTTCACTCCATCTGGAGGTTTGAATCTGAATTTTGATGTCTGTGTAGTCTAGGTTTTAATATGCACTAAGCTAGTTAAAAAATTGGAGATATCTGGGTATGCAATGACAATGGAGTGCCTCAGAAAATCAATAAATCAATTTCAGCAATAAAACTAAATGAGGAGCAATTTCATTCATTCTAAAACACTTAACACATTACAAACTCATGTTTTAATGTTATCCAAACGCACCAAAATACATTTACAGTGTATGCGTCGTGTTGTTTGAGCGTGTAAACGTGCAGAGGAGGAGGGGGTAGCACAAGTGTGAGAGCAGATCTTTAATTCATTACACCATAACGCCACTTGCACCGTAACTTATTTAGGTAGATAGCGCAATGTTGTCGTATGAGGTGACGTAAAGCGTGCCGCGCGTTCGCTCTGCCCCACCCGTTGCTGTTGTCAACGAACATTCTGATTGGCCGAGGCTTAGAAACGAGAAATCTGATTGGCGGAGGCGACGAATCCAGGAGCGTGATTGGCTCAGGCCTCAGGCCTGGGAAAGAGCGTTCGAGGATCCTCAAATGTACAGGCCGCAGTAGTGCTACCGTTGGAAAATTAACTATAATAAATTACTACAATTTCGAGGGGATCGGAAACTCATCAACGCTCTGAAGGCAGTCGCGGAGTAGGTAAAGCGTTCTGGATTTGTGCAGCGTGTGTATGAAACGGTGGCCGTCGGCCTGCGTGGGCCTGGTGTTGTGTTCAAGCGCGAGGAAGCGCCCAGCGCGCGCTCCTGCTAGCCGGACCCTACGCAAAACTAGCGAAAATAACGGTCGTGCGTCTGGCTTTTGACGCATTAATCAGTCATATACGAAGTAAATGCAGAAATTGCGTATGGGTTGCGTGTTTTTGTGATTCTTTCGGCTGTGTTGTATTCAAATACACGTTGACATATTCGTTAGCTAATGCTATTAGCCGTTTAGCATGTGGTGTAATGGCGGAGGGCAAGATGGCGCAGTAACGCGGCCGCATTTGCGCAATCTGTTAACCACGTAAAGAACCGAAGTCCCCTGGAATATTACAGTGAATTTCGAAACGTTGTGTTCTGTAAAGGTTTTTAACTGCACCGAGTCAATGCAACAATCCAAACTTTGTTTCGATTGAACTGTCACACGGAGTAGTACGCTCAATTACTAAGCCTACTATGGCGAAGGCTCAACTCACGAGTATATCAGAGTCACGTGGTAACGGCACTGGTTGTGGTTGCAGTCACGTGACGGAATTAATATTAATGAGTCCACCTTTTTCATAGTATGTTCAGATTACGCCATCATAGCATAGACTGTAAAACAAAAAAATCACCTGTCATGAGCGTAGCGCTGACAACGATTTCGCACTTTTTTCAGACATGGCAATCATTTAAAAATAAGGCGTTATACTTCTGACACTCTTTTTAGTGACCGTAAACATACAGTACTCAATTTCCCCCCACAAATAGAGATATGACGTCATGTTGGAAACCCCCTCACATAATTGTTATGCTCATTAAGTTGTAATTACTAATGAAGTCTAATGTAATATTAACCGGTTATGATTAATTTATTATAATCAACCACTTTCTTGATATAAACTTAAATGATTATTTTCTGCGTTTTATATATACAAATGTTATTAAGGTTGTTATAATGTTAAGAAATTACTGCAATGTGACCTTTCTGAATGGTAAACACAGTTTATTTGTTTATAAATCATTTTATTTAGCTACTGTGCTTGAATTCTTTGATCTGTGTTTTAGGATGTTTTGTTTGCTCCACTTTTTATAGTAAAAAAATATTTTTATAATAAGAAATATAAAAGTTATACAAATTATAAACAAATTGTTACAATTATATAAATGTTATATACATTTAATTTCATTTACTCTTCTGTTTCTTTCAGACACTTTCCTCCCAGATGCCAGATTCACAGTTTTTCTTAATATTTGTGACACTTTTATGTGAAGGGAACTACTGTCAAATGTGAAGGTTTGTTAAATGGCAGTTTTCACTCACACTGGATTCGAAAAGAAAACCTTTTGGAAAAATGAGTTGTTTAACGCGTTTGCATATGAATTCAGTGTGTTGGATTGAATTTTCTGTCATTTTGTGTAGGGCTGCCCCCTAATATTCGACGAGAAGAGGCTTAGTCAACCAGAATTTCATTAGTCGGTTAGTCGTAGAAAAAAAAAACTGTCTGTGAGGGACAGAACCTTAACGGCGGGTCCTTGTTGTCTACAGTGTGTCTTGCAGGAAATCCAAACGTTCGCCTTTCATCCATCGACCTCAAATATGGCTTACCATTTAAAAAACACTGAATTAGCAAAAGGCGCGTCCACTATAGTACTCAATAGGGATGGGACGGTATGAAAATTTCATATCACGATTATAGTGTCCAAAATTATCGTGATTATCAATATTATCACGGTTTTGTTAAAATGAGATGAAAGTGTTCAAAAAGAATTGATGCTCACACTGAAAACATTTCAACAAGTTTTATATTTGAAAATCAACAAACAACAAATAAATAAGCAGCTCTGTGCAGTTTTTTAAGCAAGATTCTGTGGCATTTCCTTCTTTATAATGCCCGTCGTCAATAGCAACGCATTATTACACAGCGCACATCCATGTATCACAACGGCGCGCTCTCGTTTCATTCAAAAACAACTTGCCGTCTTCTTGCATCTCCCGTTTTTGATGGTTGATTTATTGTTTACAGAGTTTGATAATATTGTTGTGATCATCTTGTCTGGACGATTGTTTGTACGCTGTACAAAATGGATTTATAAACGAGTAAGATTTAAAACACTAATCTCAATTAAATATGTCCCCGTAATTATGTGGTGGTACAAATAAAATCGGTTTAACAAGTGTACAATGAATCTATACGTTACTATCCCTTAAAATGTCACTCTTAATAACAGTCTTGTTTGAAGTTGTTCGTTCGTCTTTGGCTCAAAGCCACTTGCTGCGAACTTTTCTTCGCGGAAGCTTCACGTCTATTTCAAGTGGGTTACATAAAATATTTCAACTCAAAACAACATTTCGTGCCCAATTATTTCCCAGACGTAGTTTTGGTATTGAGGTCAAAGTTAACTTTCCTTGCGTTCGCTATACAACAGTGGGTGATGGTCACACAAGACGATCGGCAGATTTGAAGTGTTTCTTTTGGAGCGACTTTTTGTTCTGCAGACAGGGTGACCATCCTCGATCAAGTTTCCCTCAGGACTTTTGTAAAAGCCAAAATATGACCCCACCTCAGATTTGGTCTTCTTAAAAGGCTGAAAAATCTCCCGAACACGAAAAATCTCACTGCTTCCGCCATTCCTTCCCCAATTAATAAAAAAAAAAACATTGCGCGCTGTGCCTGCGTCAGACTGTTGCTGGCTTGACAGGATTTACAGTGAGTTATTAAAATCGCGATAATCAAACACTGTTTTAATGATAATTAACTTTTAAACGATAATACTAACCGTCAGTATATTTTATCGTGGTTTATCGTGAAACCGGTAATCGTCCCATCCCGAGTACTCAATAGTAATAGTACTCATCCCCAAGTACCCGTAAACACTTCGGATGAGACGTTAAACCGAGGCCCTGACTCTCTGTGGTCACAAAAAATCCCTTCGAATGAGTAGGGGTGTAACCCCGGCATCCTGGCCAAATTTGCCCAGTGGCCTCTGTACATCATGGCCTCCTAATCATCCCCATACAAATTGGCTTCATCACTCTGTCTCCTCTCCACCAGTAAGCTGGTGTGTGGTGGGCGTTCTGGCGCAAAATGGCTGCCGTCGCATCATCCAGGTGGATGCTGCACACTGGTGGTGGTTGAGGAGATTCCCCCTTCTATGTAAAGCGCTTTGAGTGCCGAGAAAAGCGCTAAATAAATGTAATGAATTATTATTATTATTATAGGCTACTTCAACTTCATCTCTGCAGCCGACACTGACTCGGAAAACACTAGTTTATTAATAAATAATTCAAATGTATTTTTTGACACATTCATTATCATTACTTTTGCGGCAAGCTTTATGTGTGCGCTCGAGTGCGGAATAGGCTATATTACCCCCCCCCCCCCCCCCACCCCTAGTATATATATATTTGAGTAATTTAAATTAATATAAACCTACGATTAGTCGACCAATGGCTTAAATGAATGACTAGAAAAATCTTTAGTCGGGGACAGCCATAATTTCATCATGTAATAATTTCTATTTACATCACATTCCTCATATAGCAGTTAATGTTTTCACTTTTTCAGTATTGTGGAAAAATCACAGATTATGGATCACGGTGGAGGGATCCTGGAGCTTCACAAGGATTTGAAAATGCCCCATACAATGATCATGTCAGATTTTGGTAAGGAACCGTAATTAAAATAAAAAGAGTCAATTAATTGCCTGATGTTTGGCTTGTTTTAGGTTATGACATTGACTGATCATTTTAATATAGAGTTCTTACTATAATTCAAGTCTTACAAACTCGTATGTTTTTTTGTTTGTATTTTGATATGTGAATAAAGTGTTTACACCTAGAACGATAACTATTTATTTGATTTTTTTTAGGAGAGTATATTTACTCATATACTTATATTTAGGATATTTGTTTATTTCTTCATCTTTTTTTGATTTATATTTAATGATATATCTGTTATAATGTTTTTTGGTCTCCCTACGTAATTTATCTTCGGAATACATAATTGCAATAATGTTTTTGTCTTAAATGTAGTATTTGTTTTTGTCTTGTTTATGCTGATGTGATGTCTAAATTTACCCTTATACATTTTTTTTTTTGAAATATTAACTATAATAAATTGTTATTATAGTGAAGATAAAAAAACAACAACTATTTATAAAACTGTAAAGTTGTAATAATCGTAATCCCACACGAAAAAGTCCACACGAATAAAACAATAACCTCACATGAATCTGCCTTTCCAAACCCATAAGACTTTGCATTTTTGGGGGTGAACTATCCCTTTAATGACAAACAAAAACAACTGAACAATATTTATGAACCACCTCATGAAATGCTTTGTCAGTTTTGTAAACTTGTGTTGTGCTATTCTCTGGTGCAGTTGCAGGGATGGGTGGCATGGCCCACATCGACGGCGATCACATAGTGGTGTCGGTGCCGGAGGCCGTGATGATCTCGGATGAGGGCATCATGCTGGAGGCTGACCTCGAAGCTGAAGTGGTGGAGGGGCCTGACATCTGTCATGAGGACGTCATCACCAGCGAGGGAGTGATCCTGTCTGAGTCTATCCTGGGGGCCGAGGTGGCCATCCAAGAGGCTCTGGAGACGGAGCCTGATCAGGTGTTCGTGGCGGACCTCATGTCACCTCACGATCAGAGTCCGCTGGATCACGACCTGGTGTCTGCAGAGGTCATGGTGTCCGACTCCGAGACGGTCATACAGTCACACGACGCCATGCCGTCTGATGTCACTATTAAAGTGGACGATGAGGAGGATGTGAAGAGCACTTCAGAGGATTACCTCATGATTTCTCGTGAGTTTGCTTTTACGTGCCAGCTTGGGTTGTAGGGCTGGGACCAGGGTCTGAAATTAACACCCGCCAAGCGCCAAATGCGGGTAGATTTTCCGTTTGGCGAGTAAATCTCAAAAGGCCATCCGGCCCACTGGCGGGTGAATGTTCATACCAAAATAGTAATGTAACAAGTTAACGTTAACGAGTCCTCTTATCGATGCTCGTCCTGCTCCAAAGCGAATTTTTGTCCCGCCATAGTCTTATTTGATCTGTGAGTAATGTAGACGACAGTAGTGCGTGTGACAGGGCGCAACTGAAGAACCAGCAGAGAGAGAGAGAGCCCCGGCCGGTCACGCGCACACTCTTTCTCTTCGGAGCCAGGCGAAAGTATAAACAAGGCTTCACCGCCTCCTAAGCGCTGTCTTGCCTCACATATTAATCCAAATAAATCGACACGATGGTAAAAGGTCGGAAGACCATAGTTTCATGTGGAGGATTCGGATGTATTTTTTCCTGAATTACCGCTGGGTGTGAATTGTGCTAAAATACCTTATCTTCTCTGAAAAGCATTCCGCACATTCAGCTGACATAAACCACACTTTAAATAAACGAAAAAACCTATCCAGTGATGAAATGTTTTGTGTGTTTAGGATGTCGGATGTTCCCGCGAACGCATCCGATAATGACACGTCCAATTCGCGAACTAATGACTCCTTTGAACCGATTCATTTTAATGAATGGTTAAAACAACTGATATTTCCAGTCCTTGAGTTACTGATCGGATCAGTCAGAGTGAATTGAGTAAAAAAAAAAGCCAGAGTAAAACTAAATATTTTTTTGAAATAATTATAATATATTATTATTGCATATATTTTATTAAATATACAATAATACATTTAATTTGTACAGAACTATTTTCATAGGCACCACCACAAACATATTATTTTAATGTGTGTAATATGTGTGTAAATAAAAGTAAAAACGGAAAATAATAGACCAGAAATATGACAAAAATGTTTAAATATAGCCTATATATAAATTAATGTATATGTGACACAAAAAGGCTGTTTATTATTTTGGCCGGTAAAAAATATGCTTGTCTGGTGGATTTTTTCATCTACCAGTCCCCGTGGCAGGTGAGCCAAAAAGTTAATTTCGGACCCTGGCTGGGACAATAAATCGATTAATCTAGAAATTATTCTGGATTTATTCAGAGATTTTCGGAATGCATCGCGATCCTCTCTCGAATCGATTCTGAGCTTAGTTTTTAACCTCAGATGGCACTAGAAACATAGAAACAGCCGTACTCTGCTGGCTTCCAACGCCTTACACACACCACTTGAACCTTCGATAAAATAATCATTTATAAAGTTCGAAAAGGTTGAAGCGAACACAGGGCTGCTACTGCTGGGGCTGCACAATATATCAAAACTATCGAAATATCGCAAATGTGTATATCGCGATATGCATATCGCAACGACTTGCAATAACTGGGGTCATGAACAAAAGACAAAGAAAATCACTCACTGCTCTTGGCTGAATAACTTTTGTAGCTTTAATAAGAATCAGTATAGTATATTTAACTAGAATGTACATTTCCAGAAGAAAATGTGAAGTGGTGCTTGCAGTGGCAAAACTCGCCGCTCGGTTGCTAGGGTGTGGTTCATGATTGCATACGAGCCAACAAAACATGTCTGTACGATGTTCTGGTGCTGAGAAATGGCTTATTCATGTGTTCAGGTGGTTACTAGGGTACTCTATATGGTTGCTATGGTGTGCTTATACAGTTTATGAGATGATATTTAAAGACTAGTTGACAGTCTGAGTCAAAAAAGTCGAACTCCATGTTTCTACTATTTTCTGGAGCTGAAATATGGCTTGCAAATGTTGTTTTATGGTTGCTAGGGTGCCCTAAGTGGTTGCTAGGGCACGGCTATGAAGTTATTATGTCACTACTTATTGGCTTCTCTATAGGCTGAGTCAAAAGAGCCCAACCCCAAGTCTCTATGACCTTCTGGTCAAAAGATATGATCTCACAAATTTTTTGCCAATGTTAAGTCTATGGGACTTTTTTCTGCCGTTTTATCGCCCGCCGGACGAACATCGTACAACCGATCGCTTAGAAAAGACATAGCACACCTCTCCTCAATGAACCGGTCGATTTGACACCTCATTCATGGGTTTACGACAAAAGGTGCGGGAGGAGTAGCGTGCCGAAGTTTTATCTGGGTGAATAGTAATCACAATACTAGAATGTACATTTCCAGAAGAAAATGTGAAGTGGTGCTTGCAGTGGCAAAACTCGCCGCTCGGTTGCTAGGGTGTTCTTGGATTTTGCTATGATGATGCAAGGCAGTTGCTAGGGTGTTCTGGGTGGTTGCTATGGTGTTGCTATGCGGTTGCTAGGGTATTCTGGGTGGTTGCTAAGGTGTTTTGGGTGGTTGCTAGGCGGTTTCTAGGGTGTTCTGGGTGGTTGCTAGGGTGTTGCTAGGTGGTTGCTAGGGTGTTTTGGGTGGTTGCTAGGGTGTTGCTAGGCGGTTGCTAGGGTGTTCTGGGTGGTTGCTAGGGTGTTGCTAGGTGGTTGCTAGGGTGTTCTGAGTGGTTGCTAGGGTGTTGCTAGGTGGTTGCTAGGGTATTCTGGGTGGTTGCTAGGGTGTTGCTAGGTGGTTGCTAGGGTGTTCTGGGTGGTTGCTAGGGTGTTGCTAGGTGGTTGCTAGGGTGTTCTGAGTGGTTGCTAGGGTGTTGCTAGGTGGTTGCTAGGGTGTTCTGAGTGGTTGCTAGGGTGTTGCTAGGCGGTTGCTAGGGTGTTCTGGGTGGTTGCTATGCGGTTGCTAGGGTATTCTGGGTGGTTGCTAAGGTGTTCTGGGTGGTTGCTAGGGTGTTGCTAGGCGGTTGCTAGGGTGGTATGAGTGGTTGCTAGGGTGTTGCTAGGTGGTTGCTAGGGTATTCTGGGTGGTTGCTAGGGTGTTGCTAGGTGGTTGCTAGGGTATTCTGGGTGGTTGCTAGGGTGTTGCTAGGCGGTTGCTAGGGTGTTCTGGGTGGTTGCTAGGGTGTTGCTAGGCGGTTGCTAAGGTATTCTGGGTGGTTGCTATGGTGTTGCTAGGCGGTTGCTAGGGTGTTTTGGGTGGTTGCTAGGGTGTTTTAGGTGGTTGCTATAGTATTCTGGATGGTTGCTATGGTGTTACTAGGTGGTTGGTAGTGTTCACATTTGGTTACTATAGAGTTTATAATGTTCATGGCATGATTTAGCACTTAGCTAATCAATATTAGCATGTAGCTATTCACAGCTAGCATGTTTAGCATGTTGAAAGTCCTGTGTGCTAGCATGAGTCAAAAGACCCAAACCCCATCTCTATACGATGTTCTGATGCAGAGATGTAGGTCTTGCAAAATGGTTGCTAGGGTACTCTGTTTGGTTGCTAGGGAGTGGCTTGGCAGCTACCAGTAATGAAACTCCAAAAGCTGCTTGTCAGTATGAATTATATAAACCAACCCCCATCTCTATACGATGTTCTGATATAGAGATGTAGGTCTTGCAAAATGGTTGCTAGGGTACTCTGTTTGGTTGCTAGGGAGTGGCTTGGCAGCTGCCAATCATGAAACTCCAAAGGCTGCTTGTCAGTATGAATGATATAAACCAACTCCCATGCCTCTGTGACATTCAGAATGGACGATATTCCTCTTTGGATTTTTGTTGCTAAGGTGCTCGACAATGGTTGCTAGGGCGTGGCCAGTAAGTGTTGAGGTGATTCAGGATTGGCTGTTTGCTGCCCCGAGTCAAACGAGCCCACCCTCATGTTTGTATGACAATTCAGTCCAGAGATATCCCTTCGATCTCTTTCAATGGAAGTCTATGGGAGTTGTTGCTAAGGTGCTCTAAATGGTTGCTAGGGCGTGGCTTGATAGCTTCACAATGATCCTGAGAGACTGATTGGTTGTGTGAGTAAAATGAGCCCGCCCTCTTGTCTCTATGACACTGTGATCCAGAGTTATGTTCAATATAAAAGCGGTTTCTATGGTGTAGGACGGCCCATTTCATGGGCCGTCCTACACCATAGTAAGTCAATGGGGAAACTTTGGGCAGCTCCTGCACCCCAGGGGTGCAACTTTTACCCCATTGTGTGGTATGTTCTTACAGAGCCTGTCAGCCTCTTCAAATGTGGCAAATTTCACGTTTCTGCGACATCCTCGTTCCGAGCTACGACTCGTCAAAGTTTTTCGCAATGTTAAGTCTATGGGATTTTTTTGGGCCGTTTTTCGCCCCTGGGGCGACCATCGTACCCCCGATCTCTTAGAAAAGTCATAGCACACCATTCCCGAACAGGCCGCACGTTTTGACACCTCATTCATGGGTCTGTGACAAAAACTGCGGGAGGAGTAGCGCGTCAAAAAGTGGCCAGAAGAATAATAATAATTATAAGAAGAATAATAAGTATGTGAGATAACAATAGTGTTGCTTCGCCATAGGCAAGCACCACTAATTAATAGAGTGAAAACTAGGGATGGGCATTTTTCAAAAATATTGCATTCGAATATTCGGGCTCATAAAAATCGAATGTTGTTTATTTAAATTTGGTTTAACGAAAAAGTCGTTATTTTTTTTTAACGTTTTTGTCACCATTTCATAACAGGCTTATGATTAGGCAATATACACAACAAGCTTAAAGTATATCTTAAGGTTTTCTTTTAGTTGAAAACATTAAACAATATGAGTAAACAACAAATATAAAGAACAAAAGCATTTAAGCTCAAGCAGGCTAACGGAGAAAAAAAAAACGCTAATAAAGCAGGTCAGGCAAGTTGTCGTACAGGCCGAGTCAGAATATGGTTATCGCGTTTATATTGTTTCACGTTCATGTTCAGAAAACAATAATATCCTCATGCTCGAGTGAGAAAACATGCTGTGCTGACAGACGTTGCAGAGACAAAGATAACGGTGTTCTAAGCAAAGTTTCTAACAGGACTTTGCGTTTTCTGTTCTTAAAGGGATACTCCACTTTTTTTGGAAATAGGCTCATTTTACAACTCCCCCAGAGTTAAAGTGTTGAGTTTTACCGTTTTTGAATCCATTCAGCCGATCTCCGGTTCTGGCGGTACCACTTTTAGCATAGCTTAGCATACATCACTGAAGTGGACAAGACCATTAGCATTTCTCAAAAAAAAATGACCAAAGAGTTTCGATATTTTTCCTATTTAAAACTTGACTCTTCTGTAGTTACATCGTGCACTAAGACCGACGGGAAATGTAAAGTTGCGATTTTCTAGGCTGATATGGCTAGGAACTATACTCTCATTCCTGCGTAGTAATCAAGAAACTTTACTGCCGTACCATGAGTGCAGCAGGCGTAATGATATGACGCAGCGCCTGAAAATAGTTCCGTTGTGTTGACGGAAGGTGGCCTATTTTCAGGCGCTGCGTCATATCATTACGCCTGCTGCACTCATGGTACGGCAGTAAAGTTTCTTGATTATTACGCAGGAATGAGAGTATAGTTCCTAGCCATATCAGCCTAGAAAATCGCAACTTTACATTTTCAGTCGGTCTTAGTGCACGATGTAACTACAGAAGAGTCAAGTTTTAAATAGGAAAAATATCGAAACTCTTTTTTTGAGAAATGCTAATGGTCTTGTCCACTTCAGTGATGTATGCTAAGCTATGCTAAAAGTGTACCGCCAGAACCGGAGATCGGCTGAATGGATTCAAAAACGGTAAAACTCAACAGTTTAACTCTGGAGGAGTTGTAAAATGATTTCCAAAAAAAGTGGAGTATCCCTTTAAACCTGTCTCCCTCAACGAAATTTTAAGGAAACGTACGCCTCAAAATCATTTAGCTATAAGATAAGTTATCATCTCGGATATACAGCTGCGCTTTACCTGCAGTCGTGATGCAGTGATGGACAGCTGTCTTTCCTCAGTTGACTGCTGTTTGGATTTCATGTGATTTCTCATGGTGGTGATATTATGATAATTTGGATTCATTCATTAATTTGATCAAAAGTAATTCCATTTTGTAAGATAATTTTCATCTGAGTAGCCTAATTCCAAAGTTCGCGAGGCAGACGACAACATTATGTGATCAAATACACACAACTTGTTAACACGCTCCACAGCGCCACCCAGTGCATTTAATTATAATTGCGAGTTAGTGCTTGCATTTACGGCCAGCAAAGCAATGTAGTAAAATTCTAATAGTATTTTATTTTTCTAATAATAATTACAGATCGTATATTCGTGCACATCCCTAAGTGAAAACTAAGCCGTGTTTTATTTTTACATTTGATTATTCAGTTTCTGTTGTTAAATGAACCTAATGTAGGCCTTCCTGAAACCCTAAACCCAGTGGTTTACACTGATGTAAAAACAACACTTCTTATGCTACTGTAAAACACTGCTGTTCACTCTCAGAAGTTATAGGGATGTTTTCTTGTCACAAGAAGAATGTGAAACACGCATGTAGGTTATATCATTTTAAATATATTTTAAAGGTAATTTAAGTTTATTTTACACACTTTAACATATCAAATATCGCATTATTTAATGAGTTATCGCATTTTTCTTCAATATCGCGCAGCCCTACTGTTTTTACATTAATCTCGCGTCATAAAAGCGTTCTCAGACTCAGCCGAACGCACCTGAGGATGAACACACCAGAGAGAATGGCGATGCATTTGGAAAATATTGAAATCGATCCACGAATCACGATGCATTGATTTATTGTCCCAGCCCTATTGGATTGATCGGATCCACAGCAATGTTTGATATCTGGCTTCTTTGCAGTGGATGAGGTTGGGGAAAAGCTAGACATTGGAGACGCCTCTTTAAAGATCAGTGCAGATGTGGGCCAAGATGACGACGGCTCGAAAGAGGACGAGTTCAGCTCTGAGGTCATCAAAGTTTACATCTTTAAGGCCGATGGAGATGAAGATGTGGAAATTGGTAAGGAACACATTTCAGATGTTTACCACAAGCGGATTGCTACTACTCTCACTGTTATTGAGAGGCATTGGCATATGGCAACAATTCATTTCTACTCATTTCCTTGTTATTCAGAAAAAAACCACAATATATTTCACTATGGGAATTAGGGCTGTCAACGAATATTCTAAATTGGAATATATATTCGAATAGTTTTAAAAAACAGAAATTCGAAGGTGAAAATTAATATTCGAATCATGTGGAAAAACACGCCCGCGGCAGCAGAGGCGCAGCTGTCTGCTTTGCGAGTGGCAAAATTCTGAAGCTTAAAATGTAAAACGCATTTTCCAGCTGTACAGACACAGTGAGTGTCTGGCTCACTCATTGGCTGTGCTGCGGCAACTGCACATCCAATGGCACGGGCGCCTCCAACGTGTGCGCCAATGAGCTAGCATTACATCAGACACGTCAGAGCCCGCCAAGGGGGCGTGGCCAGAGCCCTCGAAATAGCCATAGTAGCAGGCTAGCAGCAGTTTACCACAGCACAGCTCGCTCGGAGCGTTCAATGTCGGTTCTATATACTGTAAAACTTCAATTAATGTTAATAATATTTGTTTCAATCACCGAATGAAGCCTGCTATATTTAGGACAAGAGTCGCAACCTTAAATTGCTTGCACAAAACTCTTGATCAGCACTCAACATTTGTTTATTGATGTTCATTTAAACCGTTATGCGCAGAGAGCGTGAGGGCGAGAGAGAGAGAGTGCCTGCGAGTGCGAGCGAGAGTAAGGTCTTGGCCATTAGTTGATTTAGTTGGTTTTGTGTAAGTTAATACGTTGTCAAATATGTTTAAACTTAAATAAACTACCTATACAAGTAGTTGTGTCTCTTTGTATTAATGGGCTCTATGCACGGCGGTATTTCCGGTGAAGGTCTAAGGATGCTGGATTACTTCCGCCGATCGTAGAGTCCAATGCTATACCGAGAATTTATATTGGTTTTTATACTCTATTGCTATACTAAAGAAAGTCACAAAAACAGACAAAACAGACACAGACTATGATTGACAGGAGAGTTTCAACACAGACCCGCCCTCGCTCGTGAGAGAGCTGTCAATCATTGTCTGCGCGGACCGGCGCGGTCATTATTGATATGCTGGAGCACTGTCTATGAGCAGAATGGCGTCTAAGCGATTGTGGTGTTCTGTTCTTGGGTGTAATAACGAACACAGCAGTCATTTTGAAGCTGAAGACGCAGTGGCTGAGTTTGTTTTCGAAGGGAATATTCCCCACGAGCAACGTCAATGCTCTCATGTTTTCGCGAATCATTTCTCACCAGACTGCTTTATAAACGAGGGTCAGTATAAAGCTGGTTTTGCTAAGAAGCTGCTCCTGAATAAAGAATCGGTACCAGATATTCGTGTTCCTGCTGAACCTCTAGAACAACTGAAGTGAGTGTAACGTTTTATTAAACTTTATATTAATATTTATATCTTTGCAAATCGCTTCACGATGAATGAGTCTAAGGTTTACACTCAGGGTACATTACTGCATGTTTTCTATGTACGACGTTCTCAAATATAATTCATAATCCCACGTCTATAATGAACAACGCGTTATGGTTATTGTGTTATTGTGTTACAAACGGTGTACGCACAGAACAGAGAGGCGGGGTGAGCAAAGCTCATGATCATTTAAAGGCATATGCACTGAAACGGCGTGCTGAAAACAGCTGTTTTTGACCAAGTAAAATAAGTGTTTTCTTACAATACTAATGAGAATTTTTAATTAAAGTATATTACAAACTTTTAATTTAGACCCTAAAGAATCATATTAGCTTGTACAAAAATGACATTATATGACCCCTTTAAGTCACATGACATTTGAATGTCCCTCCAAAACACTCTTTCCCACTGTCACCCTCACACGGAAGACATTCGTGTCCTTATTTGAAGTGTTTATTGTAGTATAGTTTTAGTAAAGTATTTATGTATAAATAAAAAATAGATTCTTCTTTTCAGAAAATTAATACAAAAATATTTTACGGAAAGGGCAATAGTAAGGGTGCAGAGTTCGCTCAGTGAGGATGAGTTAGAAGTTTGTTTGTTATCGCGGCTTTGAACGATTTTGTAATCGTGGCAACCGTAATCGGGATTAGAAGTTTGATGAATCGTGCAGCCCTAGTGTAGAGTAACCTCTCATGAGTAAATATCAAGGACATTTTGATTGTCCATTCATGCCCTGTAAGATGAATATGTTTGTACGGTGTTGTAGGCAGCACAGAGGTGGTAGCAGAAAGTGATTTCCCCAATGGGCACGCGGTGCTGGAGCCAGTGGTCTCAGGCCGGCTGCCCAGAGAGAAGATGGTCTACATGGCTGTGAAGGATGCCTGCCATGGAGACGAGGACATCAGTGAGTTCTGGCTCTTTTTAAGAAGAGTTAAGGTCCTTGCACACTGAGTCCGAAATTTTCACACGTTAAAAAATCAATTTGGCCTCACATTGTGTCAATCACTGCCTCCGAAACTTTCGTCCGTCATAAAAAAATTAGGATCGGGTTCAATTTTCTGCATTTTTCACATCTGTAGCAAGCGTTTTGAGAGGTGTTTTGACTATTCACAGCCACCGAATGACGAATAAGAAAACATTAATACGGAAATTTCTCACTCAGTGTGCAAGGACCTTTACATGTGCATACAGTGTCATGTCAAAAAATGTGCTTACGTTATACCCTGTCCTGACTGTAGACTGTTCGGAGATGACTGACCAGGTGTATATGGAGGTCATTGTTGGGGAGGAAGAGGCTGCTGGGATAACAGAAGCGCAACTGGAGGACACACCAGTTAACAAGAGCTTTGTTCCTGCGGCCTGGGCAACTGCTTATGGTCCTTCACTTTTTTGTTGCAGGCAGAGATACAAATTGCTTTAAATTAATAGTCCACCCAAAAATAAAAATTCTGTCTGAATTTGGAACAGCACTACCATCCTACCCTAGTATTGGACTGTAATTATGACTATATTTAAGTCTTCTGAAGCCGTACGATAGCTCAGGGTCTCCAGATCGATTTTGTCAGCCGAACCCCCGTCTTTGCCATTATTTGCACTAAGCCATATGGCAATTTCAGTTTTATTCCGATTAACAGTGCAGCCTTATTTATTTAAATTATTGGCTTTTAATCAACTCGCACCTAAGGGCTCGCGAACCCTTGATTGGAAAACCCTCCGAAAACCGATGACAGAAGTTTCATTTTTGGCTAGCTCTAGCTGTTACCTTAAAACTTAACTTAACATTTATACAAAAACATTCTCCTTTCCTTTTAGTGCATTTATAGGGTGTAAATGTCCGATACAAACACCTTACCAGTCATGGCTTTCCTACAGGAAGCAGTCTAGAAAGTAAGAACGGCACAGGCACTCCCTACCTGCAGATCTCTGACAGCATCAGCTCAAGCCGAGCTCTTAAGCAGAAGATCAAGAAGAAGAGGAGGGGAGAGACGCGCCAGTGCCAGACAGGTATGATCTTCTGCTAGTGCCAGAAACTGTTTTTAAAGGGTCATGAAACCCCAGAAGACATTTTCATTTTCAAAACACATCAATGTGCCCTCAACTCTTTGTTTTCCCCCCTCCGCTCATATTTTAATATTCATTTGTCTGTATAATGAGTGTGTTGCAGGTCTGTGTTTTATTGGTTGTTGTCTCCCCTCTTCCCTTTTTTGCCATTTTTTTTTTTTTTTTTTTTTTATGAAGCCAGTGGTTATAAAAATCTAAAAAAAAATTATAAAAATAAAAAAAGTACTGAATTGAGTTATTTTTATTGCGCTTAAATGATCAAACACACACAGAATTATGTCAAAATGGCCATCTTGGCGAGGATCCTAGTAAACACAATTGGTTTTGTCTTAAAGGGTTAGTTCACCCAAAAATGAAAATGATGTCATTAATGACTCACCCTCATGTCGTCCCAAGCCCGTCAGACCTCCGTTCATCTTCGGAACACAGTTTAAGATATTTTAGATTTAGTCCGAGAGCTTTCTGTCCCTCCATTGAAAATGTATGTACGGCAACTGTCCTTGTCCAGAAAGGAAATAAAGACATCATCATAGTAGTCCATGTGACATCAGTGGGTTAGTAAGAATGTTTTGAAGCATCGAAAATACATTTTGGTCCAAAAATAACAAAAACTACGACTTAATTCAGCATTGTATTGTCTTCCGGTTCTGTTGTGGATCCGCATTCAGTGACGCCGCTGACGTAAGACGCTGCTGACGTGTGTCTGGTGTGTGTGTGTATTCGGGTTCAAATAAATATGGCTGGGCAAAAAAATGCAAGTCTTCCTCTGTGTGGAAATCCTTAGACATGTTTGAGAAGATTGTTTTGTTTACAGCATGCGTCTCCCTCAGACTGTAAACGAAGCTCGGGCGCACCAGACACACACACACACACACACACACACCAGACACACGTCAGCAGCGTCTTACGTCAGCAGCGGCGCTGAACGCAGATCCACAACAGAACCGGAAGACACACACGCACACACACACCAGACACACGTCAGCGGCGGCACTGAACGCAGATCCACAACAGAACCGGAACACACACACCAGACACACACACACACACACACCAGACACACGTCAGCGGCGGCACTGAACGCAGATCCACAACAGAACCGGAACACACACACCAGACACACACACACACACACACACACACACACCAGACACACGTCAGCAGCGTCTTACGTCAGCAGCGGCGCTGAACGCAGATCCACAACAGAACCGGAACACGCACACCAGACACACACACACACACACACACACACACCAGACACACGTCAGCAGCGTCTTACGTCAGCAGCGGCGCTGAACGCAGATCCACAACAGAACCGGAAGACACACACGCACACACACACCAGACACACGTCAGCGGCGGCACTGAACGCAGATCCACAACAGAACCGGAACACACACACCAGACACACACACACACACACACACACACACACCAGACACACGTCAGCAGCGTCTTACGTCAGCAGCGGCGCTGAACGCAGATCCACAACAGAACCGGAACACGCACACCAGACACACACACACACACACACACACACACACACACACACACCAGACACACGTCAGCAGCGTCTTACGTCAGCAGCGGCGCTGAACGCAGATCCACAACAGAACCGGAACACACACACCAGACACACACACACACACACACACACCAGACACACGTCAGCAGCGTCTTACGTCAGCAGCGTCACTGAATGCGGATCCACAACAGAACCGGAAGACAATACAATGCTGAATAAAGTCGTAGTTTTTGTTATTTTTGGACCAAAATGTATTTTCGATGCTTCAAAATATTGTAAATAACCCACTGATGTCACATGGACTACTTTGATGATGTCTTTATTTCCTTTCTGGACAAGGACAGTATACCATACATTTTCAATGGAGGGACAGAAAGTTCTCGGACTAAATCTAAAATATCTTAAACTGTGTTCGGAAGATGAACGGAGGTCTTACGGGCTTGGGAGGACATGAGGGTGAGTCATTAATGACATAAAATTTTCATTTTTGGGTGAACTAACCCTTTAAGTGTAACGTAAACAGTTGAGTGAAAACAGGATGTTTGTCAGTATATTAGATCTGTGCATTCGGTCTGAAAGTAACGGCAGCCTGATAAACCTGCTGCTCTCTGTGTCATTAATAATAATAATAAAACAACAAAAGACAAACAGAAAATCACTCGCTGATCTTGACTGAAGAACCTTCGTAGCTTTAATAAGAATCAGTGTTTTGAATTCACACAGCGATGACTAGCGTTTTATTTTTTGTTTTACATTTTGATCATTCAATTCTGTAATGTTTCTTCAAGTATTTTTTTTCAGGTAGGTCTATCTAACAGTAAAGCACTCTGTTTCATTTGTATCTTTGTTCTATTGTATTTATTTGTCCTTTGTTCTTACTGTTTACTTGTCTTCAATAAGCGTGAGAACTTTTTACTTGGGCTAGCATTAGTTTTTGCTGTGACGCTGACATTTTTATCAATGGTATTGGTATTAATGTCATCTAAAATGTTGGCATTGTAACAACCTTATTTTCACAACTATATTGTGATATTGTTATCGACTAGAAGACTAGAAACTGAAGTGTGTTCATCTAACACAGAAACAAAAAATTGCAGTAAAATTGAATGTTTTCCTTTCAAACTTATTATAATAAATTTCCAAATGTGAGGTTCTGTTATATGTATTCGACCTATATTTAGCCAAAAGTAACTGCAAGCATGTATGCAATATTGCTACGCTGGGTGTCTGAGCATTAATTCCGGTTTACCTTCATGTAATAGAGCAATAATACCAAATAATGATAGATTGAACAATAAGCATCACCATTGGGACGTTGAGATGTTCTCGAGGGTGAACTTGACCTATATATAGGTCCTATACCCTGCTCAAAAGTCCTTTCTAAAAAAGGATGATGGTGTCAGTGTTTCAAAAGGGAAGTAGTCCTTCCTTTGTCTCGCCACTAAAGTGCGCTACAGAAGTAAAATGTTGACCATTTTTCAGCATGTGCTCCTCTGTTTTAGCTGTAATCATTGGTCCTGATGGGCAGCCCCTGACCGTCTACCCCTGCCACATCTGCGGCAAGAAGTTCAAATCACGGGGTTTCCTCAAACGCCACATGAAGAATCACCCGGACCACATGTTCAAGAAGAAGTACCAGTGCACCGACTGTGACTTCACCACCAACAAGAAGGTGAGTTTCCACAACCATCTGGAAAGCCACAAGCTCATCATCAAGAACGAGAAGATCCCCGAGTACACGGAGTACACGCGGCGCTACCACGAGGCCAGCCCGCTCAGCTCCAACAAACTCATACTGCGTGACAAGGAGCCCAAGCTGCACAAGTGCAAGTACTGCGAGTACGAGACCGCCGAACAGGGACTCCTGAACCGCCATTTGCTGGCTGTGCACAGCAAAAACTTTGCACACGTCTGCGTGGAGTGTGCCAAGGGCTTCCGCCACCCTTCTGAGCTTAAGAAGCACATGCGAACCCACACAGGCGAGAAGCCCTACCACTGCCAGCACTGCGACTTCCGCTGTGCCGATCAGTCCAACTTAAAGACTCACATAAAGAGCAAACACGGGACTGAACTGCCCTTCAAGTGTGGCCACTGCCCACAGGCGTTCGCAGACGACAAGGAGCTCCAGAGGCACACTGAGATTTTCCAGGGTCATAAGACTCACCAGTGTCCGCACTGCGAACACAAAAGCACCAATTCCAGTGACTTGAAGCGTCACGTCATCTCGGTGCACACTAAAGACTTTCCACACAAGTGTGATGTGTGCGAGAAGGGCTTTCACAGACCCTCCGAACTGAAAAAACACGCTGAAACGCACAAGGGGAATAAAGTACACCAGTGCCGGCACTGTGATTTTAAGACATCGGACCCCTTCACGTTAAGCCGCCACATTTTGTCCGTTCACACCAAGGACTTGCCATTTAAATGCAAGCGTTGCAAGCGCGGCTTTAGGCATCAGAACGAACTTAAAAAGCACATGAAGACTCACAGCGGCCGCAAGGTCTATCAATGCCAATATTGCGAGTACAACACCACGGACGCTTCAGGTTTCAAACGGCATGTCATATCCATCCACACTAAAGAGTATCCACACAGGTGTGACTATTGCAAGAAGGGTTTCAGGCGACCGTCGGAAAAGAACCAACATATAATGCGACATCATAAAGAAACCCTACTATGATGCTCTTTCGTCCCCAAAACAAGATCCGACGCTCTACAGCTGCATATGTCATTTAGATGGCCTGCATTTAACAACCTGCTTATTTAATGTTCCGCTCATATGTAAAGAAACAATCAAAACTGAGACGTGTAACAGTCTAACAATATGGTCTTGGTCAAGGTTTTCATGTCACACCTCTCGCAGCCTTTGCTTTCCCTGGGTAGGAAAAGTAAAGAAAACAGTCATTCAGGGTCTCAAATGCCTATATTTTTATATCCACTTTGCTGTAAGCAAATCACATCCTCTAATAAAGGGATAGATCACCCAAAAATGAAAAATCTGTTGTCATTTACACACCCTCATGTTGTCCCAAACATTTATGACTTTCTTTTGTAGAGTTTAAAAGATGTTTCACAGAAGGTTCACGCTGCTGTCATTCATTAGTGGCTGTCAAAGCTTCAAAAAGGATGAAAAATCACCATACAAGTCTCATAAACGTAGAGTTTGTGCTATTATGTGGCACATTTTGTGTGCCTGGTCACTGTATACTGTTGTATGTTTGTGTGTACAAAGAAAATGACATGGGTTTGGCACAACATGAGGGGAGTAAATAACGACAGAGTTTTCTTTTATGGGTGATGTATTCCTGGTCAGAGCATCATCACAGGCCTTAGTCAGGATGAACGCCATATTGAATTTTACGCAGATGAAAACGCGGCCAGACTTAAAGTCTTTGCAATGGCATTCGCTGTATAAAGATCCTAGATCCTAGCAACTTTCAAGAAGTTTTTCTCTGCTGAAATTCTTTGGGAAAGATTGAACCATCGGTATGTTGTACTTTTATCCCCCACAGCCTTTATGTAAAAACCAAAAATGAAATATGGCGCTACCCTGACTACGGTCTCACTTTCCTGTTTTTCACTCAAGTCGTTAAATCATTAGATGTATTTTACTGACTGCTATGTCCAGGTTTTACTGTACCTTTTACCGTTTTGTAACCATCATGATGTTAATTTGAGCAATTTCTTTTGTGGTATCTGAAATTGTGCGATTTAAGCCCGTGCGTCTTTCCTGCGTTTCCTTCCCATTTGCTCTCTGCGATCCTAGTGTCTTGAGCGCTCCTTCACGAATCAAACGATTTGTTGTTAACTTTCTGAATACCACTACAAAATTCAATGTTTATGTAAAATGAAACGTTAACAACATGGCGAACATGCACATATTGCCAATTATTTCGGATCTTACCTTGCCTTACATGTATTTCTTTTGCACTGAATTCAGTATGAATCGATTTGTGAATATTTTTTAACAAGTTTCAGTTGTGCTATGATAGATGTATACATTAACAAATGCAAATCACATTAAGAGCACCTTTTGCTTTTTAAATGTCACTTGTGCGTTATTTATTTTTTTAGTGGGTGGGTAAACATAGACACATCATCCTAAACCAGAAGCCATCCAACTTGCCGCCAGTAAAAGACCTCAGCGATCAAAAGAGGCATGTCTTGATAACTAGCTCTAATACTTGGCATAGCTATGGACTTGTAATATGACTGTAGGTAACATCAGCACCCAGCAACTGTAGTACTTCACAGCGTACCGTACACGGTGGATTTCATTCATGGGTGGAGGCGGAGAAATCATGTTTTTATTGTCAGACTTGTTAATGTAACAGTCACTCCAATGTTGTCATGTAAAAGCCTCCATTATAAGCTCTGTCATAAGGAGAAAAAGTGTTTTTAAGATGTTGCGACAAATTCGTGAAAGTGGACGATTTAAAACAATTAGTTATGTTTCTTGAAATTACAAACCGCCACTTCTAAAGGTTCGTCGTCTGCACAGAAAGAAATGTCACTAAGACCCCATTTACACCAGGAGCCGGTTTCACAAAGCTATTTTAGACCGGTCTATATAGTGTTAGACAAGTCTAAAATTTGCTCATAGACTAGTCTAATGCAAGTTAGACTGTTTCACAAAAATAAAGACTATTAATTTAGACACCAGGCTAACTCGGGTCTAAGACTCTGTTACCTTGGCAACCAGTAGTAATAATCATTACAAACATTGTGAACGCAGCATTACCTTGGCAACCAGCAGTAACAATTACAAACAGCCAAAAGAAAAGAAGAAAATGGCCCTTTCCAAATTTAACATTTCTTCTTGTTACTACATTCTCCGCTAAATCTCCCAAGTAAAATGTCCTTGTAACTTTTTATACTCCTCCAACAAACAGATATCTTCCGCTGGGGTAAACTGCACTGAGCTGTTGAATGCGCCTACTCGATCCGCCATGTTTTTTGTTTTGAAAAGTGTCTTATTTTACCCAGAATGCATTGCAGTGTAGTCCTACTTAAGATAGTCAGAGTCTTAAGTGCTGATTTAGATGTCTCTCTGAAGTCTGACTATCTACTATATCTAAGCCGTAGTCAAAGTCTGTCTTTGTGAAACCGGACCCTGGTATTAAAATGCGATCTGTATCCAGATAAGTTATCCGGATAATAAAAAACGCATGTTAATGCAAGGTGTAAATACGTTGTGATCGGATCTGCCTGACCACATCTGGAGGTAGTCTGGCTCGCATTGTGTTCGGATCTTTACGAGGTGTAAACGCAATCTGGTTGTTGAAACCACATGTGTATATTTTACTCCTCCCAAAAATGCTAAAAAAATAAATGTGTGAGAGTGTTATATAGGCTATATGTTTCATGTCAGATATGACGACGCTACTGCAACACGCATTACCGCAGATGAGCAGAGCTATATATGAGCTATTCATCAAGCCAACGTGCAAATAAAAGTGAAAGTAAGTCACAGACGCTTAACACACAATCATCTTCAAGTAAAGAAATGAAAATTATCTTACCAGGGCTGTTGCCACTCTCTCTTATTGCTGTCTTTGATTTTGAAATGAGCTGATGATCAATAAAATGCAGCTCACCTCTGTTGCTTTCGGTGGCGTGCAATCCATTAAATCTGCATTTATATCCGTTTTGCAAAAACACATTTATGTGGCCAGGTGTAAATGGAATCGGTAAGATCAGAACACTTATTATCCGGATAACTTTTCTGGATACAGATCTCATTTTAATACCAGGTGTAAATGGGGTCTAAAGTTTCAGCATAATGCATGTTGTACATCTTGCTTTTGTGATAGACATCTTTATTCACAATTAAATTGGTTGTTTTATGTTAGAGGCAGTAAAACAGAACATTGTTTAATTGATCAAGAACTTACAAAGTAATCCGTTATCATTTGATCCATGGGACCTTATTTATGTGCACAATTGCAGGATGTCATCAGACTCTCAGGTAGAGTTGTCAAAAGTACTGACTTCGGTACTGAAATTAAAAAAAATGTGTGGATACCAGCGTTTTGCATTTTGAGCACTGTTGAACTTAAACACCTCTGATTGGCCATTGTGTTCACGCGCTCAACATATATGTCTCTGATTGGCTACAATGATCAACGCTTCCAAAACATGTTGTAAATAGACATCTTTGACGCTTCAGAAACTGATATGTTGAGCACGTGAACACAATGGCCAATCAGAGACATGTTGAGAGTGTGAACACAATGGCCAATCAGAGGTGTTTACGAATCCGTTCAATAACGCTGAAAAATGCTAAAGGGGAAATGCTGGTATCGTCACATTTTTTTTAAATTTCAGGACCGGAGTCTATACTTTTGACACCTCTACTCTCAGGCTGTCATTCATGAATCACAAGGAGAACTCTGTGTGTGTGTGTGTGTGTGTATAGTTTGTATAACCATTCTTGCATACATTGATGCACTGAATAGATGCAGCAGTTTGCGCAATCGTTTTATGAGCGATTCACAAATTCATTCTGCTCGTGTTTTGTGAATGAGGTCCGTTACTCTTGTGGCTTCTTGAATTATAGTTCGAAACTCACCTGTACAGGCAGTGGTTCGGCAGAAAACAAGTGGTGAAGTGTATGCGAGCAGTCTAGATGTCGCTGTGTTTGTTTCAGTTGTGGTTGGAGAGTAACATTCTTCATGAAAATAAAATTATTTTCTTTTTGGTATTGGCGACAGGTGGACTACTGGTGAGGAGGAATCAAAATAAATACTTTTCAAAAAGGATTCTTTTGCTTTCAGAAATGTTCACACTCAGGTATTTCCTTGACATTTAGAGCAAATAGCACTTTTCAGATGTAACCCAATTAACACAAGTCTAAATAATTCAATGGAAATCGTTTTAATCTGCTTATTATAAGTGTTGTATTATGCCATTAAAGTTAATCATAAATACTCTTCTGTCACTGTTCTATAACCTTACTATGTGTGCGTCTCATTCAGCTCCTTGGTTCAGTGGTCGGGGCTCATTTTAAGGAGGGCTCTCAATCGCAGAATCCTTCATGTGGTTGAAATGTTTGCTCTCTAAAAGAATCCCCCAATTGAGGATCACTATGTTTCCTTAACAGAAATCCTGAAGGCCGGAACAAATTAGCACTCGATAGACATCATGACATGCAATGGAAGATTTGAAAAGACAAACTGTTATTTAATTATGTCAGCGTGAACACATGGCTAGACAGGTGGTGAACTTAAAGGAGAACTCCGGCGCAAAATGAACCTTTGGTCTAATAAAACATTGTTACCTAGTCAACCGTTCTCTGAGATTTGTTTTCATGATAATCGAATGTAAAGAGTTTTATCTCTAAAAACTGTTTAGCGTATAACGCTAGTAATGGGGGCATTTAATAAGTAAAAAGAAATCGCTAGTTTATACCACTAACAAGGCTCAAGATAGCCCCACACGAACACAGTAACATAATGAGGATGTCTACATGCAAAACGAAGCATTGAGAACTTTGTAAGTGTACAGAGCGTTTAATAAGAAGATAAAGATAAAGACAGTCCACTTCGTGTATACAGACAGGAGCCATCTTTGGAAAACAGTCTCGACTAGTCAAACCATGAACGCCATTCATACAGTTCAGCTCACTTAGTACGTCGTTCGTGGTTTGATTAGTCGAGACTGTTACGCTACTCTCCTGATACGCTAAACAGTTTTTAGAGAGAAAACTCTTTACATTCGATTATCATGAAAACAAATCTCTGAGAACGCTTGACTAGGTACCAATGTTTTATTAGACCAAAGGTTCATTTTGCGCCGGAGTTCTCCTTTA